AGGATCAGAGATTTTTAGATATGTAATACTAAGCATATCTTGTTTTCTTTCACTTTTATAACCCTCATTCTCCAACTCCCTTCCGTAACAGATGCACGTGCAATGCCTTGCCATTGATTTCAATGAGCTTTGGATCAGATCCTTAGTTTGATGACATCACTCAGTACGTTAAGTTTAATTTAGGTTGTAAAAACTTTGGGGCAGAAGCCTGTTATTCTATGTTGCTTAGAAATAATTGTCCTACATTTTCAGTATCAATGCCCTGAAATGTAGATCGTCTGTCACTGGAGAATTCATAAATCATGGATTTTGCTTTCTAAATGCTATGATATGTTTGTTACCACTGCTCCTTTCCTTCCCTCCCAACCCCAGCACATGAAACTTGCATTGCTACACTGGACATACAGGCTTTGCTGTAAACATTGGGACAGGTCCTGTGTCTCAGTACCTGCTGGAAGCTGAGAGTGTTCAGCAGCTTGTCGGAGGTGCAAGATGGGAGCCTACTGTAAACATAGGTTTCAGAGGAACAGCCGTGTTAGTCTGTATTCGCAAAAAGAAAAGGAGTACTTGTGGCACTTTAGAGACTAACCAATTTATTTGAGCATGAGCTTTCGTGAGCTACAGCTGATGAAGTGAGCTGTAGCTCACGAAAGCTCATGCTCAAATAAATTGGTTAGTCTCTAAGGTGCCACAAGTACTCCTTTTCTTTTTACTGTAAACATAGTAGACAGCAGAAGCAGCTGTCCTATCTCGGGGCCTCTCCTTCTGCCCCTCCACTCCCGTGAACATGATACAGTTCTGTGGTGACCTAAAATCCTATTTTCGACGTCTCCGACTCAAGGAATATTTCCAACACACCTCTGAACAACACACTAATCCACAGAGACCTCCCTACCAACACTACAAACAGAAGGATTCTAGGTGGACTCCTCCTGAAGGCCGAGCCAGTAGACTGGACTTCTACATAGAGTGCTTCTGCTGACGTGCACAGGCTGAAATTGTGGAAGAGCAGCATCACTTGCCCCACAATCTCAGCCGTGCAGAACACAATGCCATCCACAGCCTCAGAAACAACTCTGACATCATAATCAAAAAGGCTGACAAAGGAGGTGCTGTTGTCATCCTGAATAGGTCGGAATATGAACAAGAGGCTGCTTGGCAGCTCTCCAACACCACTTTCTACAAGCCATTACCCTCTGATCCCACAGAGAGTTACCAAAAGAAACTACAGCATTTGCTCAAGAAACTCCCTGAAAAAGCACAAGATCAAATCCACACAGACACATCCCTGGAACCCCGACCTGGGATATTCTATCTGCTACCCAAGATCCATAAACCTGGAAATCCTGGGCGCCCCATCATCTCCGGCATTGGCACCCTGACAGCAGGATTGTCTGGCTATGTAGACTCCCTCCTCAGGCCCTACGCTACCAGCACTCCCAGCTACCTTCGAGACACCACTGACTTCCTGAGGAAACTACAGTCCATCGGTGATCTTCCTGATAACACCATCCTGGCGACTATGGATGTAGAAGCCCTCAACACCAACATTCCACACAAAGATGGACTACAAGCCGTCAAGAACACTATCCCCGATAATGTCTCAGCTAACCTGGTGGCTGAACTTTGTGACTTTGTCCTCACCCATAACTATTTCACATTTGGGGACAATGTATACCTTCAAATCAGCGGCACTGCTATGGGTACCCGCATGGCCCCACAGTATGCCAACATTTTTATGGCTGACTTAGAACAACGCTTCCTCAGCTCTCGTCCCCTAACGCCCCTACTCTACTTGCGCTATATTGATGACATCTTCATCATCTGGACCCATGGAAAAGAAGCCCTTGAGGAATTCCACCATGATTTCAACAATTTCCATCCCACCATCAACCTCAGCCTGGTCCAGTCCACACAAGAGATCCACTTCTTGGACACTACAGTGCTAATAAATGATGGTCACATAAACACCACCCTATACCGGAAACCTACTGACCGCTATTCCTACCTACATGCCTCCGGCTTTCACCCTGACCACACCACACGATCCATTGTCTACAGCCAAGCTCTGCGATACAACCACATTTGCTCCAACCCCTCAGACAGAGACAAACACGTACAAGATCTCTATCAAGCATTCTTACAACTATAATACCCACCTGCTGAAGTGAAGAAACAGATTGACAGAGCCAGAAGAGTTCCCAGAAGTCACCTACTACAGGACAAGCCTAACAAAGAAGACAACAGAACGCCACTAGCCGTCAGCTTCAGCCCCAACTAAAACTCCTCCAACACATTATCAAGGATCTACAACCTATCCTGAAGGATGACCCAACACTCTCACAGATCTTGGGAGACAGGCCAGTCCTTGCCAACGGACAGTCCCCAACCTGAAGCGAATACTCATACCACACAACAGAACCACTAACCCAGGAACCTATCCTTGCAACAAAGCCCGTTGCCAACTGTGCCCACATATCTATTCGGGGGACACCATCACAGGGCCTAATAACATCAGCCACACTATCAGAGGCTCGTTCACCTGTACATCTACCAATGTGATATATGCCATCATGTGCCAGCAATGCCCCTCTGCTGTGTACATTGGTCAAGCTGGACAGTGTCTACGTAAAAGAATAAATGGACACAAATCAGATGTCAAGAATTATAACATTCATAAACCAGTTGGAGAACACTTCAATCTCTCTGGTCACGCGATTACAGACACGAAAGTTGTGATATTACAACAGAAAAACTTCAAAACCAGACTCTAGCGAGAGACTGAATTGGAATTCATTTGCAAATTAGATACAATTAATTTAGGCTTGAATAGAGACTGGGAGTGGCTAAGTCATTATGCAAGGTAACCTATTTCCCCGTGTTTCCCCTCCCCCCCTTCCTCAGACGTTCTTGTTAAACCCTGGATTTGTGCTGGAAATGGCCCACCTTGATTATCATACACATTGTAAGGAGAGTGATCACTTTAGATAAGTTATTACCAGCAGGAGAGTGGGGTGGGGGGAGAGAAAACCTTTTGTAGTGGTAAACACCCATTTTTTTCATGGTCTGTATGTATAAGAACATCTTCTGTATTTTCCACAGTATGCATCCAATGAAGTGAGCTGTAGCTCACGAAAGCTTATGCTCAAATAAATTGGTTAGTCTCTAAGGTGCCACAAGTACTCCTTTTCTTTTTGCAAATACAGACTAACATGGCTGTTACTCTGAAACCTGTCATAGTAGACTTTGAACTCCTGACTTGAAATATTATATGCAATAGTCAAAGCAGACTAAGTATGGCAGAGCCATGAACATGGAGTATGGCTGTGCAGCGATGTTGTCTGCCTCTTTGTTGGAAGTGGACATGATTATATTTTAAGATACTTCATACCAATTCTGCTATTTCTGTATGTATGGATTGAAGATCTTCATATGGATTATGGAAAATGTTTATCTTTCTAGTTGAGCAGTGATAAATGCCTTTAATCAGCAATGACAGAGAGATCTCAGTCCAGAAATCCAGCCTGCAAACAAAATAGTTAAAATCTGAAGGAGTTCTGACCTTCATTCTTTCTCTTATACTCTTCTATTGTTTTTGGATTTCTCAGCAACAGGAGCATTTATCTGACTTGATCTTAATCCATTTATATACCCTTAAGAGCCACTAAAGCTGAGAGATAAATGAATTAAGGCTGGAATATAATCGGGTCCAAACTAATTATAGAGTGTTTTGATTGAACTTGTGGTATTGTCCCTATTGGTAGGGAAATTCACCACATCAGAATTGTGTGTGTTTTTGAAAGAAAACTAATGGACATTGTATCGCCAACTGCAGTATATTTCTACCAGTATATGTGCCTATTGGTCATCAAGTCTGGCTGAATTTTTTAAAATATATTTTAATGTATGGACAGTTATCATGAGATAAACAGATGGCCATTCACCTGACTAAATACATATTCTTTAGGGTGTCAGGGTAGGCATAGATTGCTGTCACAAGACCTCAGCATAATTTGCATAAATTTAATATGATATGTGTGGTTCAGACAGGTCAACGTTAGTAAGAGTTTGTCTTCATTCCCCATAGAAACTCCCATTTTCTAAACTCATTTTGAATTTCTTTAGGCTGAAACATGGGATATGCTAGCTCAGCAAAAAACTATTTGGCTTCATTTTAGACAGACAGGCCTTAATATGCTCTTGGTTGGTTTTTGGGTGGGAAAATGTTTTACATTTTACATTTGGGGGATAATAGTTTGCATAGCAGTACTTTCTCAGAACCTTTTTTAAAGCTGCAATCAGGGTAGACCAGGGTATGTGCAGTGAATGAGATGATACTTTTGTGACTTGAGGGGGCTTGCTCTACTGGAAGAAAACAGTTCCTCTAACGTTGCAAGCAACAGGAGGTGTAGGAATACCTGCATTATATTGAGTACTTACTTCTATAAGAGGTTACAAATTAGTATTTCATCAAAGAAAATAAATGTATTGTAAACTTTACACTGAAGCCATATGCATACAGAATAGATGTAGTTGCAGTTCCTATTGCAAAGCAGCTAAAACAGTAATAAATACTGGGCAAAGAGAGTTTAAATCTTGACAACACTCAATTAAAAATACCATCAGAGGTCATCTTTTGGCTCTTGAAACCAAATCATGGTAGAATCAAGTTTACAAATGTAGTTTCATGTTAAAATTGTTTGCTCTGTCCCTATTGACAAGCCAAACCATGACAGAAACTGTTTTAGCTGGAACTAGTTTCCAGACTATTTATTTAACCCAGTTTCCATCTGCAGTGGCTGCAAGCTCTGTGCATATGGGCCGGGGTCTTTAGTTATGAGCTGTCTACAGAAACTTGTAGAATTAATGAAGTGTAATACTTTGTATTTTTTAAGGCACAAAATCTAAAATTATACTTAAGTGATCAGGTAAATATTTTCATTTGTTAAAACAAGACAAATAAATATAGCAATGTATACTGCATTTTGTCTCTCTGCCAGGTGGTACAATACCTTCTATTACTCCAGAAAAATCTTCCTTAGTTGTGAATAGCGGACAAGAAGTAAGACTGAGATGCAATGATGATGGTCCAGTGACTTGGGATTTTCAGAACTCAGACTCTTCAGGAAAACCAAGACATTTCAATAATAAGGAGTGGTACATAAAAAATGCATCAGCCAAAGACACAGGCAGATACATATGCAAAAACAAAGAGAGTTTGAACACCTCCATTTATGTTTTTGTTAAAGGTAAATTTGTATGTGTATTTTTCCCCTTCTTCCCTTCCAAAGCACATAATTGGAGTCTGGTGTGTCCCTTTGCGTATGAGTACTCAGAAACTGTAGTAAAGCTGTTTAAATTGTATTCCAAATTCATGAGGAATCCATGGCCAGAGATGGGACACTAGATAGGTAGGGCTCTGAGCTACTACAGTCTGTAAATCACGATTTGAGGACTGCAGTAACTCAGCCGAAGGTTATGAGTCTATTACAGGAGTGGATGGGTGAGGTTCTGTGGCTTGGCATGTGCAGGAGGTCGGACAATGGTCCTTTATGATACACTACAATCATAGACTTGGATTGTCTGGTAAGCTCAGGTAAAGAAAAGACTTAAGCCAAAATAAAAATAATAATAATAATAATAAATAGTCCTAGCAGGGACTTAATATATTCAAAATAACGCAACATATTTCAGCAATGTTCAATAACACCAGGGGATGAGAAATGGTGTAACACATACAGGGAGAAGTTAGGTATTTACATTAGACAATGCTTGCTAGGGTCATTGTAGTCACAGGAAGTTTTCGGTAGCGTTTCCATATAAATCTTCACTGTTATATGCAAAAACTTGGCTTCTGGAAGGAGAATTTGGATACCATTTTAAAAAAATGAGCTAAAATCATTTGGGTGGATTGTTCCGTATAGAGAGCAAAAAACTTATTTCTTCCTTAATTTTATTCTTTGTAGAATTTTAAAAGTTATTATTCTTTACATCCACTAGTCTGTAGTCACTAAAGGTTTGACCCCACCCTCTGGCTTACTGAGGCAGTTTGTTACAAATGTTAGTACCTAAACGCTCCTTTGTATAAGCCAGTGGGTAACAAAGAATCATCTTGCATGCAGCCTCTGTTTTAGTTCAGGCAGTTCTGACTAACTCTTGTACACCTTTCAATAGTGGGTACCTGCCTGTCTTGTGATACTTTTTCTTGAACTGCTATTGCCTTTTACCCACCTTTGTCTTTTCCTCTGGTTTTCCTCCCTTCTGTGACTTGTTGGATTCTGACAGATGGCCTCACTGGCTCTCAGCCAACTTTGCCAATTTATGTGCCTCAAGTGGGCTGACTCCGCTGATTTCTAGGGCAACCCATTCTCTTGCCTGAGCCCATGTGGCTCAGGCTGCCCTCTTTTCCTGTTGGTGGGGGTTTTTTGTGTGTGTGTGTGTGTGGCCTTTCCTATTGCAACTAGTGTTTCTCTTTCTCCACCTCCAGCCAGCAGTCCCTGGGAGAGGTGAGGGAAGTTGCTTAGGGGCCTGGTAATCCTTCTGGAACTGCTTCACAAGGACAGAGAAGCCAGCATAGCCTGGCAGGGGATTTTCTCCAGATGGAATATTCTCAAAGGTAGTCTATGTGGCCCTGTGGCGTTTCTGAAGAAATGCAAAGCTACCAAGTCCTCAGAACAGCCATCCTTCTTTCATGGATAAATTTCTTCCTCTTTTTCACTTCACAATTCCAGGACAAGGCCTAACCATCCAGCTGACCTGACCAAAAAGCTAACCTAAAACTCTGGAACCCCCCCTTCCCAAGAAATGCATGTAGACTTCGTAGGAACATACTATGTTGGGTTCCTTTAGACCTTATGACCTGTGTATGAACAGATTTATTCTTCATTCCACCCACTCACAATCTGCCTTCAAACCATCAGCTGTCTGAGACCAAGAGTTCAGTGGTAGTGCTGGACTTTGCCATCTCTCCAGTTCCATACCAGCTTTCTCCCTACCATCTTATCCATCCAGTAACCTGGAATCCTTGGAGGCCATTCAAATGTTCTCTAGCACTGGGGACATTCTCTTGTTTCTTCCTCAGAGCAAGCCATACTTTTGTTTCTCATGGATCATGACAAATGAAGTCAGACATGCCAATGCCAGTATGTGATGGACACAATAGAGCTTTATCTATCACACACATTTTCTTAAACCTCATGGTAGCTATCATAATCAACTTTGATGAGGAAGGCATTCATATTTCCCATTACAAGAATGACCTACTAGTGGGATATTCTTCACCTCAGAATGAAAGATAGCAAACCAGTGCTGTCAAATGAACATGGTTTTGCAATGAATTATCAGAGAAGCTTTTTCTGGCAATCACACAAGACTTGGTTAACCCCTTTGTCAAATTCCTAACTCACCTGGGACAAACAGGCTTCTGGAGGTAAAACAAATTATTTTTTCAAGCCGTGTCATCTTCCTGCAGCGTTGTGTGTGGCATGCCCTTCAAATCCTGGGCTTGATGATATCCTATGCAGACATAAGGACAGTACAGAGCATTCAACTCTACATGAAACACTATCAGGCTTTCCTTTTACACAGTTAGAATGCATAGGAGAACATGAACAATGTAGTAATGTCTCCAAAAAAGTCCTCTGTTTGCTACAATGGTGGATATCGACATCACAATTTCACCATCAGGATTTCTATAGCTGGTATTCCAGCCTTCAAAGGCAGAGGGTAATATAGACTAATCATCTGTCTTTCAGAGCTTGGGTCATTCATGGCACACACTCTTTATTCTTTGATCAGAAATCATGCAGTGTTGATAGACAACAGGACAATGACAACCTATTTAAACATGCAGAAGCAGGGAACTTGCAACTCCATTGTCTAGATGGAGGCAATTATTAACCCGTTCTAGGTAAATAAAATGGAGGACAATCCTCTCAGACACTTTTATATAAAAGGCAAGCTGGGTGAATACAATTATAAGCAACTCATTTTGTGTTGGAGGAGCAGGAGTACTGCCCAAAATGTCAGTGGGATGAGATGGGGGGGGGGGGGGGAGTGAGGAAAGTATATGTGTAATCCTTTTAGATGTCTTCATTCCCTTAGACAAATTGATTTGTGCCATCCCGTCTTTCCCTCCCCATTTCCAGAATGATCTAGGAAGATTGTACAGGATCAAGCCTTGGTAATTCTGCTCACTTCAACCCTGGCCTTGACACCAATTCCAGCTGTCTGTGAACCAGCTGTTACTTCACTTATCACACATCCAAGGACCTCTTTTTCCTAGGGAACCCTCCTGCACCTGAACCCAGCCAGGATGAAGTTGAGTAGGAGGAAACAGATAGATTGCTTAAGCCTTTGCCAGCATGGATTATTCTTGAGTTCATTGAGATTGTCTTCTGATTTTGGAGGGATTCCGTGCTTCTCTGTATGCTACCATCTTATTTGGAAGCCATTAAACTCTTGGTGCAAGACATTAAGCCTACAATAAGGGTCTTGGCCTGAGCTGCTTTTGTTTTCAATTTTGGGGGGTTTCTGCCACTTGAAAAGAAGCACAGTTAATGCTATGTCTTCATATTGCAACTAGGCTAGTGAGCTCAATGTAACTTTATCCTTCCACAGAATGTTGCAGATTAGATGTTCTGTCCTCAGCTGACTCCATCTCTGACTGCAAAGTTCTCTAGGCTACAGTTCTTTAAAGTATACAGTATAAGTAAAACAAGCTTGAAATGTGCTATTCATTCTTGTTTTGGTTAAACAATATGCTATGCTCTTGTTTTCTTCTTCCTATCCTCATTGTGGGTCTCTATTTTCTGGTGCTAGTTCTTAAGTTCCTGTAGTGATTTCAGGATAGTGGATGTATAAGTTACATGAAGACCAACTTAAATAAAATGAGCAAAACTTGTTCTAATTCTACTCCTCCAATGTAAACTGTAGCCTGGGGCATAAATAAACTTTGACAGTCATTGTGAAATCTCTTAATTTTTTGGTTTTCAATATTGTTGAGCAAGTTATTAGTATTTTAAAATTAGCAGCTAGCAAGGACTTCAACTTTGGTTTTAAAAATACTTAATAGATCAGATATTACTGTACTGTAGATTGACTGACATGACAAATTGTAAGCAGTCATACAGAATAACTACATCATAATTTTTCAATACTATGGATTAACCAGATGCTTATGTAAATACCCCCAATATTTTCAGGGAGAGAGAAGTTTTAATTTTGCTATTTCCTCTGGTAGCAATATGTGTTCATTTAGATTGTCTTTTTTAGAAGTGAAAATTATAATTGAGGTTACAGTTCAACTTTCACTTGATCATACATTTCTCAGAAATTCTCCTTCTGGGCATGAAACTTGATAGACCTGATCTCAGCTCATAGGTGATTTTTTTAATAGTCTGAGCAAAATCTATTCTGGCATTTTTTGAGTTAGACAAGAAGGAAATAATCATTTCCTCTCTTTAAAGATAAAAGAAAAAATAAGATTTTTTTTTCCTGCACAAAACTCTCAAGTGACTGAGTTTTAAAACTACTGCACCTCAGCATAGTGCACAGTCAGAAAATAAGGAAGTTTTCTAAAATTCTATTAGCAATGTTAATTTAATAAACTTGAATTAATACAGTATTCATAATATTAGTAAAATGTATAATTTAATGTATTCTTTGAGCAATCTGGCAGAGTTTGGTTTTTTTGAACCTTAACTTGTACAATTCCTGACTTTTTAACACATTTGTTTTCTTTACAGATCCACATATCCTTTTCCTTGATGACTCTGACCCTTCAATCTATGTAAGAGAGGACAGTGATGCTCTTGTGGCATGTCCAGTGACAGATCCAGATGTTTCAAATTTCACCTTGAAATTATGTGGTGGCAAACCATTTCCCAAGAATTTGACGTTTATTGCCAATCCCCAGAAAGGAATCATTATAAAAAATGTACAAAGATCATTTAAAGGGTGCTACCAATGCTTGGCAAAACAAAATGGAGTTGAGAAAACTTCAGAAAATAGATACCTGATTGTAAGGCCAGGTAAATGCACTTTTTTCCCCTCTGCATGCATATGGGCATTCATCTGAAGAAAACAGATTGATGAACACTGCTGCGAATACTTTCCTAAGAAACACTAATGGATCTTGAACTTATCACTATTTTTCATAGAAAGGTTTGAGTTAATAATGCGAGTTTAGGATTACTAGATTTTTTTTCATATAATAAAACAGAATACATTTTAAAATATAGTAATAAACAGGTGCTTGTTTGAGGTTCTGGTAGCTGGGTGGATAGGTTGCAGGGACTTCAGAGCTTGTTCCAGATCTAGAATTTGGTAGAGGGGTGTGTGTGTGTTTGTGTTTGAAGGGAGAAGGGAAGAGGTGTCACATAAGGGTTGACAGTGGGGATCTTAGAAAGGTTTTGGCAAAATCCCTGCTGATTTTGGATAGTTCTGTGGATTCTAAAAGGAATTTGGGGATCCAGGCTTTTCTGAGCCCTGGTCCAGTGCTGACACTCGTCTTCGATGCTGGCTTTCTAATTCATTTGCTCTGTCAAAACTTACAGTATTCAGTAGATTTGAATAGGACTGTCCTGCTAAACCAGAAGACTAGGACACCTTATCACCTTACTGTTATCTATATAATTGAAATTGGAAGACCTGATAATACATTTTGGTTAACAAAATGTAGTAAGCTAACAAATACAGTTTCTCACAACTGAAGTAAGGTGTGTGTGTGAGAGAGAGAAAGAGAAGCTGTGTGGTGGGGGAAGGAGGGAATGGAACAATCTTATTTTCTTCATGGGTGAAAAAAGGTAGGTATAGAAATCTTGTCCTCTAATTTTGAATGGGACATCACTGGTAAAGCTGTCATTTGTGACTGTTTACCTCTGATCTCCCTCTTGAATTTTAAGCCCATTTAGACAGATCTTTTATTTAACCTTCTAGTGACGTTGTACGTTAGCAAATTGTTGTAAATCAGTTTGGAGAGAAGGAATATAAGCCTAATTAATGAAAGCGCCTAAAATATATTAACAGTTGAGGTGCACAACATCTTTTTAAGGTTCAAATAGCTTGCCCAAGTTCTCTCTCCAAATCTGTGGTAGAACCAGGAGTAGTAGAATCCAGAGCTCCCCATATGAGACTGCCATTTTCACCACTGGAAAACACATCCTCCTTTTTTGTACCATCATTTACATTATCCAAATGTAGTCCAGGAGTGGACAGTTCAATTCCACTGGCATAAAAGTCAAATATGAAAAGTTCTATATAAGAGCTAGGTATTCTATTAACAACAAGGGGGAAGAAATACAAGTCAAAATTGGGAAAGAACAGGTGAAAGAATATTTAGATAAGTCTGATGTATTCAAGTTGGCAGAATCTGGTGAAATTCACCATAGTGTTCTTAAAGAACTAGCTGAAGCAATCTTGGAATTGTTAGCAATTATTTTTGAGAGTTCATGTAAGATTGATAACATCCCAGAGGACTGGAAAAGTCAAACATACTACCTACCTTTCAAAAGGGGAACAAAAAGAACCCAGGAATTTTAGAGTTTGATAACTGGAAACATACTGGAACAAATTATTAAACAATCAGTTTATAAGCACCCAGATGATAATAGAATTATATGGAATAGGCAACATGAATTTGCCAAGAACAAATCATGCCAAACCAAACCAATTTCCTTCTTTGATAGGATTACTGCTCTAGTGGATTGGGGGGAAGCAGTAGATGTGATATATCTTGGTTTTTAGTAAAGCTTTTCACATAGTCCCACATGACATTCTCATAAGCAAACAGGTGCAGAATTAGTTGAAAGACCATACTCCAAGAATAGTTATCAATGGTTCTCTGTCAAACTGTGGAGGACCTACCTAATCGGGTCCCACAATGGTCTGTCCTGGGTCCGTTACTATTCAGTATTTTCATTAATGGCTTGGGTAATGAGGTGGAGAATATGCTTATAAAATTTTCAGATGACAACATGCTGGGAGGGACTACAAGCACTTTGGAGGACAGGATTAGAATTCAGAATGACCTGACAAATCAATGAATTGGTCTGAAATCATCAAGATGAAATTCCATAACAACAAGTGCAAATTACTACACTTGGGAAGGAAAAATCAAAGGCACAGCTGCAAAATGGGGAATAACTGGCTAGGTGATAGTACTACTGAAAACGATCTGGGGTTTATAGTGGATCTCAAATTGAGTATGAGTCAAATATGTGATTAGTTGCCAAAAAGGCTAGTATCATTTTGGGGTATATTAACAGGCATAAGCCACAGGAGGCAATCGTCCAACTCTGCTTGGCATTGTTGAGGCCTCAGCTGATATATTGTGTCCACATCTTAAGAAAGATGTGGACAAATTGGAGAGAGTCCAGAGTAGAGCAACGACAATGATCAAAGATTTAGAAAACCTGACCTATCAGGAAAGGTTTAAAAACCGAGCATATTTAGTCTTGAGAAAGAAGACTGAGCTGGGACCTGATAAGTTTTCAAAATTTATTAAGGGCTGTTACAAAGAGGATGGTGATCAGTTGTTCTCCATGTCCTCTGAAGGTAGGACAAGAAATAAGGGGCTTATTTGGAGCAAGAGAAATTTAGGTTAGATAATTGGAAAAATTTCTAACTATAAGGATAGTTAATCTTTGGAATAGCCTTGTAAGGTAGACTGTGGAATCCCTCACATTAGAAATATTTAATGGATGAACACCTATCAGGGACAGTCTAGGTATACTTGGTTCTGCATCTGCACAGAGGGTTGGATTAGATGACGTCTCATGGTCCCTTCCACCCCTATATTTCTAGGATTCTGTTATTATTTGTTATTATACTATAGTACAAGAGACAATTTAGAGGAAGGATTGAGGGAAAATGTTGAAGCAACAAAAAAAAGAGAAAATTAAAGGAGGAAATTGAAAAGCTTTAGATATTACAGATAAATACATAGGTACTCGATCCTCAGATAGTGTAAATTGTCATTACTTGATTGAGTTCAGCAGAACTACACCAACTTAAAACAGCTGTGTATCTAGCCTACTAAGTCAGTAACACATCACCAAAGCCATCTCAGTTGGCAGCCTTGTCAGTCTTGATGGAGACCTACATTCTCCCCTTTGTGATCATCCATCTCAGGCAGAGTTAAGGCCCATTGGCAGGGTGGTGTGGTAAAATCAAGCACTGTCATTCCCTGTGCAGTTCCTGTTCTTTGTCTAAGTGGAGAACTTTCGTTTTCTAGGGCATTCAGTTAGACATTTTACAAGAGCACTAAATTCATGTAGACATTTTATATTTAAGAAATTGAATTTAATTTCAACATGCAATTCCATAGTGACATAATTCTAACTGGTTTTAGTTGTAAAATTCAGCAGGTTCATCATTGTCATAGAATGAGTTACCTAATTGATAGTTAAATACCATCCACGTTTATCCATGTGACTTGCATTTATCCATGTGACTTGAGTAGATCTAAGTGTTTCCTAACTTTAAGTATAGTTTAAAAGGGGACAAAATGGAAATATACTTAGCATGAAAACACTAGTCTAATATATTACAGAGATTTGAATGCCGCTAAGAGGTCTGAATTTTGTTGGAAGGTTAATGACTGTTGATTTTTATCCCTCTTGGAAGCTCTGAATGTAATGAAAAATAATGCACTTATAAATTATTTTCCAGTTCACAAAACCCTCCCTGTTATCACCTTATCCAAACCCAGCCAGCTTCTCAAAGAAGGAGAAGAATTTGAAGTTACATGCACAATAAGAGATGTAGATAGTTCGTTGACAGCTAATTGGATTCCTCAAAATAACACGGTGAGATCATTTAAGTTTTAAAACACAGTCTAAAAAACAACAGGACCTTAGAAAGGCATTTATGTCCGTATTCCTTGAAAATAAAACTTCTGCGAAGATATGTATGTGTTTATCTCAAGTAAGTAACATTTGGCCAATTTCAGTTTACCTCAGTTCCTTACTTAGGGCAGGACTGTGACTTGTCCTTACAACACTCTGCATGCCAAAGATGGGGCACCAGGCACACTCCTGCTTTTCTGTGTGGGCTACGCGCATCATTGATCACAGCCCAGGGGGAGAGCAGCTTCCAGATATCCAGTGTTTTCAAACCTGGGTACCTGAGGTTAGGCTCTTAAATCTGAAGATCAGCCTATATTGGCATACCTAAATACAGAACTACTGAGCACCCACAAATCCCTTTGATCTCAACGGGAGCAGCAAGATCTCAGTAGCATTGAAGAGTTTGGCCATAGTTTATAAAAGTACCTAAAGTTCCCAAACTGGTTGTTGTTGGTAAGAAGACCGACTACTACTCCTGCAGCATACAATCCCCTGTTAATTGGTAGGTCTTTTGTTGTTAATGGCAGTGACTGGAATACATAATTTGCTGTTCATGTGTGTATAGAAAAAAAGCTTCTGTGATACTGTAATGATAGATAAATCATACAACCTCAGGCCTGGATACTGACTCTCTAGGGTCTATGCCATTCCTAACTAATCCATTGATGCTGGCAGAGTTTCTTTCACTAAGTGCATATCTATTGTGAAATCCCAGCTCACAGCTTCAAGAGTTAAAGCCTAAATAACATGTAGGCAGTATGGTATTTGCAGATGGGGCTTTTGGTTCCTTGCCAAGGTTAACTATAAATCTTGCATTTGAGCACTTTTATTTTCTTGTTTGATTGCAGTAAGGTCAGGATCTTTTCTTGATCACATTTTTTCATGCTATGTTAGTTTACATTTTTATGAAGAAAAATCCACAAGAAAAATATTTTGGACCAAATAAGTGTGACCTTTCAGTCTTGTTTGTTAAATATCAGGGGAAGCAATCATTTAAAATATTGACTGTCAAATTAAATTTTGTATTGGAATGGCTAGAATACATAACATTAATGAGTTTAAATAGAGGCAGAATTGCATATTGGCCTGAATAGGTCAAAGTAAAAAAAGTTCACTGCTTCCCTGATCACTAGTAGTAGTAGTTGTTGCTGCTGCTGCTTTTGAAAAATCAGTAGAAGATCTGTTTTCAACAACCACTTCCAGACTTAACGTATAAAATATTAATGATAGAGAGGCCAAAAGTCATAACTGTGTTAAATGGATGAAACACCTGGAAATCTCTAGCACCTCTCCTAATGAAAACGTTTTCATTAGAACATCTAAAAAAATAATTCAACACTATGCTTTGGTCTAATTTGAAATGACAAGTCATCCCAATTTAATAGTAGATATGCCACAAAAAACTAAAAGCACTTACTACCCAACCATATCATAAGATCACACCTAAAATCTTTCTTCAACTCCCAGGCTTACCCCCTAGACAGAAACCCCAACATATTAAGTGTTTGAGAAAAAAAATGGCTTTCCAGTTTGCCCAGAAGGTTAAGAAATCCAGATGCTTGCTGATCAAAGAGGGAAATGTATTCCAAAGCTAAGAACCCCTCACTTAGCAGCCTACTGACAGCTCCCTGTCGTGTGTGTTGAGAGAGCTCCATGCTGCTCAGCTGTGATAGAAAGACGCAAGAAAGAAGTGGTGCCTCTTCTCAAGCTCTATGAGGACTTGGCAGTTTAAAATTAGCACCTTAAACTCTACCTGGAACTTTACTGAGAGCCAGAGCAACTTTTGTGGTAATGTTTTTTTACATGCTGTTTGACTGATGCACCAACCGTCAGTCCAGCAGCCACATTCTGTGCTAGCTTCACCTTCCAAGCAATGTCAAAGTGAAATCCAATGCGGAGGTCTCATCTAGTTTCCACACAGAAGGACTAGAAACGTTATTTTTATGGAAGGTTTCAGAGTAGCAGCCATGTTAGTCTGTATTCGCAAAAAGAAAAGGAGTACTTGTGGCACCTTAGAGACTAACCAATTTATTTGAGCATAAACTTTTGTGATCTACAGCTCACTTCATCGGATGCATTCAGTGGAAAATACAGTGGGGAGATTTATATACATAGAGAATCATGTTCTCTATGTATTGCGACAAAATTCCTCCTCTACCTTGGTGGGTCTTGAGCTTATTGGCGGATTTGCTCGCCTTGGAGCTTCACGGCAGCCCTCAGTTTGGCCATTTTCATGAATCCACAGTCCAGGTCAACTCTTCCTGTGTCTGACCAGGAGTTGAGAGGTTTGGGGGGAACCTGCGCCCGCCCTCTATTCCAGGTTCCAGCCCAGAGCCCTGTGGTATGCAGCTGTTTAGAGTGCCTCCTGGAACAGCTGTGTGGCAGCTACAACTCCCTGGGCTACTTTCCCATGGCCTCCTAACACCTTCTTTGTCCTCACCATAGGACCTTCCTCCTGGTGTCTGATGATGCTTGTACACCTCAGTCCTCCAACAGTATGCATTCTCACTCTCAGCTCCTAGTGCCCCTTGCTCCCAGCTCCTCACACACACACCACAAACTGAAGTGAGCTCCTTTTTAAACCCAGGTGCCCTGATTAGTCTGCCTTAATTGATTCTAGCAGCTTCTTGATTGGCTGCAGGTGTTCTAATCAGCCTGTCAGTCTTAATTGTCTCCAGAAGGTTCCTGATTGTTCTGGAACCTTCCCTGTTACCTTACCCAGGGAAAAGGGACCTACTTAGCCTGGGGCTAATATATCTGCCTTCTCTTACTCTCCTTTAGCCATCTGTATATAAATCTCCCCACTGTATTTTCCACTGAATGCATCCGATGAAGTGAGCTGTAGCTCATGAAAGCTTATGCTCAAATAAATTTGCTAGTCTCTAAGGTGCCACAAGTACTCCTTTTATTTTTATGGAAGTTTGCTTTCTGCAGAATCTGAATCTTTCCTGGTGCTGGAAAATTACCTCCAGTGAACTGGCCTTGGCCCACTGACACAAACACCAATATTTGGGAAAATTTGGATTTGAACTTTGTGGCATTGGCCCATTTCTAATTATCTGGTACTCTTCAGACGTGAACAGAGTAGATCCCCTGCCTGAGGACCATAAAATCTAATTGCACAGTGTCATGTGCCTGTAGCTCCCATTGAAACCATTTGGAGTTGAAAGTGCTCAGCATCCTAGAAGATGGGACTCTCATTTAGAGAGAGCTAGGCCAGTGAAACCCAACAGACTAAGGGTGTAGGAGTGGGGTTTGAGGAGGAGAGGCAATAAAGAACAAGGGAAAGGGACTGCAACTTTGGGAAGAGCATTATTTTTCACAGAGAATTGATCATGTAGTTGTTTTGTATGGAGACGTTCCAGTGACAGGTTTGTCACGAAGGCTTATTATTCCGGTTTAAAGTTATGAATATTAATGTAGTGAAGTTATAATTACTTCTATTTTTAATTTATCTAGGAAGGCTGCTGCATACACAGTATTTTAGATGTTAATTGTTTTTTACCGACAGACTGTTAAAAGCAAAAGCAAGAATATGGGTGATTATGGATATGAAAAGAAATTAACATTGAGCATCCGTTCAGTGGGAGTTAATGATTCTGGAGCATTCACATGCCAAGCAAGAAACCCTTTTGGAACATCCAATATCACAATAACCTTGAACGTACTAGGTAAATAGTTCTTAAAGAAATACAACATTTCTAAGAGCTGAAAGGCGAAAATGCAAAGTAAACACCCCCTCCAATATCGAACAGTAGAGCTTATTAAAAAGGTATTGCAGACTGGTGATATGTTGAAAAAGAAAGATTAAAGCTTTAGTGTGTATCACTTCTTTAATGATGGTAACCTACTCTTTGTCAGTCAAATGTGATCTTGCATAGAAGAGCAACCTCAACAATGTTTTCATCTCTCTGGTTTGTGTGCTCTTAACTGGTTTAATTTTAAAACTATTTCAGTCTTAATGAAGCACAAAACTTCCCCTTCTTCATCTACTCACCCATCTTTGTATGGTATCATCTTCTGGAATCTTACCTCCTGCTGTGGGTCTTGCCTCAGCCTGTCTTAATAATGTGCAGAGTTATTACTAGTCCCACACAAATTTGCCTTACATTATTCCCATGCTGTATAGTGCTGGCAGAGCAAATATAAAACAGGTCTTCAATACCACATTCCATGTATAGGAAATTGATTTTCTGTTACATCCATTGGTGTGTTAATATGTTTTATGTAGGAGAAGCCACACTCTGAACTCTGTTTGGAAGAATTTTTATAAAATTAAAAGTTCTATTTATTTATTTATTTATTTTCTGTACGGCATTATAGCATAAAATACATGGGCTTGATTCAAAGCGCACTGAAATCAGTAGAAAGACTCCCATCCGTTGACTTCAAAGGGCTTTGGATCACACCCTTTAAGAGCAAGCAGATCTTTTTACTCTGCCCCTTTTAGTAACAGGTCATGCTGTGAAGACTATTTAGACCCCAAATGCCCTGTATTAATTTTTATGACAAGATGTACTTTAAAATATTAAAACCACCCTAAGTGCTAATTTGCTAAATTGATAAAGGAGCACATTGATGTAGTTAGTAAGAGAATTTTGAGTAATTCCAAGTTATTGGCTAAAAGATTTTTGGTTCCTCTGCTTCCAAGAATGTAGAAATTGGGAAAAAAAAAATCTAGCTATGAAACCTCAATATTTCTTGAAGTAGTGGTTACTCTGTTGTCATCTTTTTTTCCTTTTACAACAGTTTTCTTTCACAAATGACATTACAAAACTGTTTGCATGGTTCTTTCTAGTAACTCAAGAAAAGCAGAAATAAGATAAGTATTTGAATCAGATTCTGAGCTGGTGTAAATCAGCACAACTCCATTGGTTTTAATGCAGTTACACCTGTTCACACCGGTTGAAGATCTGACCCATAATTTTGATGTATGTTTTGCTCTATTGCTATACATGAAACGAAATTGTTATATAAAGTAAGCTAATCAGTACTGAAGCAATGTTAAGAATTAAAGAACAGAATCTTTTACAAAGAGCAGGGGTTGGGGAAATAAGCAAGTTTATTATAAGGGTAGGGAGGCTGTTCAGTACAGAGCCTATTATAAATACTCCAAATGCAAATGACTTTGCTGAATTGGTTCACTCAGAATAGTTTTGTGAAATACACAGAAAAAAACAATTGCTCTGTGCATACTTGCTTTATTAAATGCAATGAGCATAGCACTATAAAACATAAACTAATATATTTACAAAGAAAACATATGTTATGCTTAATAAAAAATTAAAGCTCTTAATCAGTTAAAAGCTGGCATTTTTCATTTTCAAAACAATATTTTTTTGTTTCCTTGAGTTTCACCTACAACAAAGTTAGCAATCTGTTCTGGATTCTTTTACTGGCAATTGATAAAATAGGTTATTGCTTTTCTTTGCTGTTCCAGATCCTAGTATCATAGAAGTGAAATACAGGGGAAAAAAACGGAGATCTTTGAGATTGTATCAGATGCTAAATTAACACACCTTTTGACATTAACCAAAAGGCTTGGAAGAAATAATAGCTATGTTGGTGGATCTACTGATTTTTTTTTCATTTAAACAGGTTGATTTCTGTAAAATACAAGCAATTACTAAAATTCTGCTTTGGATATTGGCAGTTTAATCATTGAATTTTATTTGAAACGTTTCAGATACAGTCTTGAACTGAATAAGATTCCAGGATGTATTGAATGAATAACAAATATATCCAGAGTTAATACAAAACAAGAGCTTGCAATGGGATAAAAACCTCATGTTGCAGGGTTTAAACACGTTTCTAACTAGGAGGGAACAGGTTGTATCATACCCGCTTGCTGTCAGGCTTCTTACATATTCCTCTGAAGCATTCTGACCACTGTCAGAGACACGATACTGGACTAGATGGACCACAGGCTTGACCAGGTACAACGGTTCCTGTGTTCCTATTTTGAAAATTTCATGGCCCAATGCCCCAGTTGTGCAGTCTGCTCTGAACTGTCAGACTTCTGCTTTCACAGAGCCCCACGGACTTTACAATGGCTTTAGTACAGAGGTGGGCAAACCACATCCGGCCCACGGGACCGTTCTGCCTGGCCCCTGAGCTCTTGGCCCAGGACGTCTAGCCCCCAGCCCCTCCCCCGCTGTCCTTCCTTCCCCACAGCCTCAACTCACTGGGGCAGCGCAGCTGCAGAGCCCGGCCTGACCCGGTGCTCTGTGCTGCACGGCACGGCTGCCTGTCCTGGTGGAGCTGCGCCACCAGTGTTCCAGGCAGCGCAGTAAGGGAGCAGGGGGTGTTGGATAGAGGGCAGGGGAGTTCGGGGGGTGGTGGTCAGGGGCCGGGGGTGTGGATAGGGGTCGGGGCGGTCAGAGGGTGGGGAATGGTGGGGTTGAGTGGGGGCAGTCAGGAAGTAGGGGTGGTTGGATGGGGCAGCAGGAGGCAGACAGGGGCAGGGGTTCTGGGGGCAGTCAGGGGACAGGGAGAAGGGGGGTTGGATGAGGCAGGAGTCCCGGGGGGCAGTCAGGAAGGTGAGGAGGGGTTGGATGGAGCAGGGGTTCCGGGGGGGCAGTCAGGAATGAGAAGAGGGGTTGGATGGGGCAGCACGGGGCAGTCAGGGGTGGGGGTTCTGGCAGTGGTCAGGGGACGGAGAAGGGGTGGTTGGATGGGGCAGAGGTCCTGGGGGGGCAGTCAGGAAGGAAAGGGGGGGGATGGATGGGGCGGCAGGGGGCAGTTAGGGCCGGAGGTCTGGGGGCAGTAAGGGGACAGAGAGCGGGGGCTGGGGGGTGGATGGGGCAGGGATCCCAGGGGGCGAGAAGCAGGGTGGGTCACATAGGGGTTGGGAGGTGAGCCACGCCTGGCTGTTTGGGGAGGCACAGCCTCCCCTAACCGGCCCTCCATATAATTTCTGAAAACTGATGCTGCTCTCAGGCCAAAAAGTTTGCCCACCCCTGCTTTAGTACATGGGTCCAACCAGGAAGAGCAATTTGGAAGCGCGCAGGCCCCAAGTTCTAACTTTTGGTCTAACTTAAATTATAGCTATTGTGGATCAGGAACAAGCAGTAAATCACTTTCTGCCAAGTGATCTGAAACTGACAATGCACATATGAATTAATATGTAATTGAAAATTTGTCTTTTAAAGAAGGTAGTATTAAAGCTGATGAGCTTATTAACTAAAAGAAAATCACTTCAGTAAATACATTGCTCTACATGATATTTTAGAAGGTAAATTAATGGTGATAAATGGTATGTCCCAAATAAAGTTTAAGACACAATAGTAGATGAACAGAAATGCCTTTGTTTAGAAGGACTGGTATCCAGACCTGTGAACTTAGTGGATATTTCATTAATTACAGTTTTTGATAGTTTCACTTATAATTAAGAATGACACATGACAGTGAAACATTAAGTACACAGTAGCAAAAACTCAAAACATATTGTCAAAAACAATCAATTTGTCTTGCATTTGTTGTCAACATTTCTTCTCAGGCAAACAGTCAGGGGCTTCAATTACGGAAACATTTAAGTACATTAGTAAAATTTAAGCAGGTACTCAATTTTTCCAGGAGCATGGTCAGGATATTTCAATTTATTACCAGAAGATTAAATTACTTCTGCTAAAGCAACTGTAGGTTTGCCAACTATAGCTGATGTAAGTAGTTTGGTTGTCACTCTCTTTTGCAGCCAAGGCTTCAATCCCTTATGTAACTAGTGGACTTGGTTTTAGCAGGTGAGAGTTCAGAGTATGCTTCCTAGGTAAGGTTTTCTGTCTCACAGCTTGATGTTGGCTCACTGATCTGATATTAGTAAATAGTGTAATAGAATACCCAAGGATTGGGTAAAAATTACCTTTAAAATTGTTTTTCTTTTTCTTATTATGTCAATCAGATAAAGGATTTGTCAATGTGTCTACCACGAAGAATACAACAGTAGATGTGAATGCTGGAGAAAATCTAAATTTAATAGTTGAGTATGAGGCATATCCAAGACCAGAAGAAGAACTGTGGTTGTATATGAATGAAACATTACACAATTCATCTGATCATTATGTCAAATTCAAGACTGTAGGCAATAACAGGTAATATGAGTAATTATAAGCATGATTGATTTAATTTGAGACAGCTACTGGAATCTTCCAACAGAAGATGAGGGTGGGGAGATGCAAAAGAAATCACTCCCTTGCCCCCAATCCCAAAAGGATTGGGGAAAGAGAAATGTTGAAGAAATCCTCCTGGCACAGAGTGGGATCCTGGCTTATTATGCCATGGGGTGCTTGTTTTCAACTTTGTGGTATGGGAGAACCATTTTTGCTGCTCCTGGTGCTGTCTTACTGTGGATGATGGCATAGATGCTCATCTGTTTGTGCATAATTATGCCCTCTCTGTGGTCACTGTGTTGTGCCAGCTGAGTATATCTGTTAGCACACTCTTGTGGACTACATCTGGATACCTTCTAAACCCTCATAGTCATAGGCGACGAGTTATATTCCGACGTGGTGCCTGGGCACCAGCAGTATTCAGAGCCCAGGGGCCCAGCTCCACCAATATTTGGGGCCGGGTGTCCTCCCCACCCCCCTGCGCCTCCCCCAAGTGTCCCCCGGCCCCCTCTTGCTGCCCCCACACACCTCCCTGGGCCCCGGAGCAGAGCATCCCTGCCTCTTCCCTCTTCCGTGCAGCTCCATGCTGCCTCCGTCCATGCTGCCACGGGGTCCTAGTGCCCTACATCTCCACTGCCAGGGCAGACTGACTCTGAGCCTGCCCTTCCACCTCAGACTCTTCCCTTTTCCGGAGGGACCCTCCAGCAGCACAGGGGACCACCCCGCCCACAGTCACCACTCCTGCCCCATACTGGGCAAGGAGGCAGCCCCATCCCTCACCCCTAGCAAGGCTACAGTCAGGGGCAACAGCAGGGGAGGAGGCGCACACAGCATCCCCTGGCACCCACCGGGGGGAGGCGAGGGAGATTCCTGGGCCTGAGAGGGGCCCTAGGAGCACATGCAGTGACAGTGGTGGGGGTGAGTGTGTTGCTGGGGGGGCAGGAAAGGGGAGTTCCTCTCCGAGAGCTTGCTGCTGCCGACAGGGAAAGGGCTAGGGGGAGTCCTCCTCTCTGGCCCCTGTCCTGGAGCAGCCTGCCTGCACCCCAAACTCATCCCCAGCACTGCCCCACCCCAGAGCTCACACCCCCAGCCAGAGCTTTCACCCCTCCCACTGCACCCTCAACCCTCGATCCTAGCCCTGAGCCCCTTCAACACCTCAAATACCTTATCCCCAGTCCCAGCCAGAGCCCTCATTCCCCTGCACCCCAGCCCTCTGCCTTAGCCCTCAGCCCCTCCAGCACCACAAACCCCTCATCTCCAGTCCCAGCCAGAGCCCTCATCCCCCTGCACTCCAACCCCCGCCCTAGCCCTGAGCCTCTCTAACACCCCAAACCCCCCAGCCCCAGACAGAGCCCTCACCCTCCACACTCCTACTCTCGCCTTGAGCCCCTCCCATACCCCAAACCCCTCATCTACAGCCACACCCCACAGCCCTCACCCCTGCACTCCCTCCCAGAGCCTGCACCCCAATCCCATGCCCCAACCTAGGGCCTGCACCCCAGACCTCCTTCCCCACCCAGACTCCCTCCCAGAGCCTTGGGCAGGTGGGGGGTGGAGTTTGGGGGGGCAAAGTTTGGGCGGGGTCGGGTTCTGGGCACCACCAAAATTTCTACAAACCTACCACTCCTGCTCATAGTGTGCGTATTGCTGTTTATGCAAACCCTTTCTGGCTCTTTCCCCAGTTTGTTCCCTGTATTGGCAAGGGCAAGATTTAGCCCTAAGAGAGCTTTAAATATAGTAAAATGTGGTTTTCAGCATAAACTGTGACATAAACAGTCTGAACATTTACATTCAGAATATCTTTAAATTAACTTCATCACTTAGCAACTGGCCTTCCATTCACTTAGTGAGTAACAAACGTGGTAATGTTTAATTTCTCTGTCTTTGCAGATACAGGAGTGAACTTCACCTTACCCGATTAAAAGGAACAGAAGGAGGCATTTACACATTTTTTGTATCCAATTCTGATGCCAAGTCCTCTATACCATTTAATGTCTATGTGAACAGTAAGTAAAATGAACAGTCTGAAACTTTTTATTATCACAGACGTATTGTACAAAATTCCGTGCATGGACGAGATGTCACAGTGTGGTTCAACATAGGAGACCATGTTTAATACAAAGTACAGTCTGTAAAACTATATAAATATCAAGATATAAAACAACAGAGTACTTATGCAAATACATTTTATGTCATTCCTGACGTTAAATTCTATGGAATACACCTTGCTAATGATCATAGGAGGTGAATTCTGGAGGTTAAGTGTTGAGCAATTTTAAAATACTGATCTGGTGAGTTTATATGGGGGGAAAAAATCTGTAGAACCTGGAAACCTGGCCTCAGAAAACAATAATTTAAGGTGGTATATGATAGGCTATGGAGGCTAGAGTAACAAAAAATGCAGATCAGAAACCAATTTAGGGTATTAATTGCATAAATTTGTTTGGACTACATGCCAACAATGAAATCTTGACGAGGAGATTGCACCCATTGACGTGCATGCTAGCATTTCGGCAGTCTCATTACATCTGCAAAATAATGCAGATTATGTGTTTTCAAAAAGGCCGACATAACTTTAGAAGTATGTATATTGTCATTCCCAAGCAAAAGTTATATAAAAATTCCAGAGTGTTAGTTTAGATGCAAAACAGCATTCTTCAAGACAAAAGCGTAGTGTAGAAAATGAAACCGTGAGTAAGCTCTGGCCTTCCAATTTAAGCCATCCTATAAGAGTTTCATGCTCTCACCAAGCAAAAATTGGCATTTAAGACCAAATTTAACAAAAATCAAAGCAATAGAGGATCACAAGCAAAATGGAGGAAGCTAAGGAGAATAGGGTAGGCACTGCAAGCTGAATGGCAAAAGGAATAACTTGGTAGTATTAACATGTTGAAAAATGTGAGAGCATTATCCATAATGTAGAAATGTAAATTTACATCAAATCCTATCCTATTGATTTAATTACAAAATACTGTTCTCTAGAGATGTATTACAGTTTTTGGTCAAGACTATTTCTTTAGGATACAATAATTGTATTAAATGTTCAGCACTAATTACTGAATTGCTCCCATGTGTTGCCGGGTGTTAACATTTGAGTTTTACACAGCATCACCATTCACAATATTGTAGCACATTACCAATGATGCCACTTGGGAACTAAAAGAATTGTGAGTTATGTACGTGGCCATCAGTTCCTGTGAACCTGACTGGATCTCTCAGATTTGGGATGTCATATCTGCCTGCCAGAAGTAGCCTGTCAGTTCTTCACAGCAAGTGCTCCAGGGTTCTGAGACTGAATATAGACACTCCAGGTTAACAAAGCAGTTCAGTAATAGGTAGCAAGTTAGGAACAGTTTGGCTGTGTATTACTTAGTGGCTGCTCTCATGGTCACTTCTACAGCTGTTGCATCAGATAAAATAAATGCCTTCTGACTGAGCTTATCTAGAGCTGCTTGTGTTTACAACCACCAGTATTCAAGTCTCTTTCTTTTTTGTTTCAACAGTTAATGGGAGTTGAGGGTTTTTAGCCACCTCAAAGGAGGCACGCAGCACCTCACAGGAAACGTTGCAACAGTGCATGGATTGCAAATATTTTATTTGTTTAAAAAAAGTTTTCTTTGGAATTTTAAATAAATAAAATAAAATAATTTCTATTGGTCTTTCATATTTGTACAAGCTTTCAGGTAAATTTGACCTGCCAGTGTTTTCTGACTGTTTTTTTTTTCCATGAATTTTAGCTTCTTTGTTCAGACATGTCTTTTTAAATTTTGACAGGTTTCAGAGTAACAGCCGTGTTAGTCTGTATTCACAAAAAGAAAAGAAGAACTTGTGGCACCTTAGAGACTAACCAGTTTATTTGAGCATAAGCTTTCGTGAGCTACAGCTCACTTCATCGGATGCATACTGTGGAAAGTGTAGAAGATCTTATTATATACACACAAAGCATGAAAAAATACCTCCTCCCACCCCACTCTCTGGGGTGCTTTGTGTGTATATAATAAGATCTTCTACACTTTCCACAGTAGCAGGAGAGTGGGGTGGGAGGAGGTATTAAAAGACTAAAGATTAAAATATAAATTGACAAACAGCATGCTGAAGGGAGTAACAATTAAGAAATGATAGAAATCTTCAGACTAGCAACTATAGTCCAGCTAGAAATTAGTGAAGACGTTTTCAAATTTAAATATAGGTTGCGACAATCAACAAAGTATTATATATGCAGTTCAGGATGATGCTACAGGTGAGAAACTAGTCACGTTACCACCATGATGTTACAAATCACATGATGCTAAATTCAAGTTTCCCAGATATCAGAAAGCCTTACTGAAAATATAGGGAGTGTGTGGGAAGTCACCACGATATTTTAAAGAGACTAATTCAAATCCAGAAACTGGAGCTGTAGGAAGAAAGTCCTCTTCCAGTGACTACAGTGATAGACAATGGCAATAGAAGTGTTACTTTTAGATATTTATTTTCCTCTGTTAAGGATGAAGGAAAAAGAAATTGGTAATAAAAGTAATTAAATTAACAATGTTAACTGCTAGACTGTCGAGTTATAAATAGTAGTGGCATCTTTAATTCCTCTTTACTATGTTTGGAATAAACATCAATAAGAGCTGAATAACAGTTAATAAACTTAATGAAATTAGAGATTTAAAGCATTTAATGACTGATTATTGAAGGGAATATGCAAGTATGCAGAACAATTTAATGAAACGTTAAATAATTAACATGTTATAGCCAAAGCAGTAAGCAACATATAATCATTAAAATCCTATCTGCTTTTAAATTAAGGATAATTAGATATTGGAAGTCATAAAACTAACCATAATAAAATATTTCTCAGAATAGGATAGCTTAATGAGAAACTCTGTGTCCACACTTGCCAAGGCTAGTCCACATTTGATTCTATTTACTCTACATTCATTTGACTCCTGATGAGGCTCCTTACTGCATTAAATAAGAGGAAGCTAGAGAGAACTCAATAGCAGTGAAAGAGGCTAGCCCAGAAAAAAACAAACTGCTTACAGAGTCTGGGGCTGATATCTGGTTTTTAGGTCAGAAGCGGCAGAGTTGGCAGACCTGCCTGTACCTGCCCCCTCATCATCTTTGCCCGATGAGGCGATAGCAGGACCCTCTCACTCAGTTCCCCAGGACAATGCCAGGGCCCACCAGGAGCTCTTGAAGAGGGTCGCATCAAACCTGGGGCTGGAAGACGAGGAACTGGCGGAGTCCTCAAACTCCCTGTTCGATGTGCTGAGTGCAGCAGCCCCCTCCCAGGGTGGCATTGCCGGTGCACGTGGGATGGTGAAAATTACTAAGACACCCTCCTCCCTGCCCCCCATCTCCAAGCGGGCAGAAAGAAAATACTACGTCCCCACTAAGGAGTATGAGTATCTTTATACCCACCCTGCCCCAAGCTCACTGGTTGTGTTGGCAGCCAATGAGCATTATAGATGGCCAACCAGGATCAACGCCTAAGAACAAGGAGGCAAAGAGGCTCAATCTGTTTGGTAGAAAAATTTATTCTATGTCCAGCCTCCAGCTGAGAGTGGCCAACCATCAGGCCTTGGTTGGCCATTATGATTTTAATATTTGGAAGTTCATGGCCAAGTTCTCAAATTCGCCTCCAGAGGAACCCAGGAAAGAATTCCTGGCTATCCTCGATGAGAGCAGGGCAGTGGCCAGGGCAGCCCTCCAAGCGGCCTCAGATGTGGCAGACTCTGCGCCCGAACCATGGCTTTGGCCATTTCAATAAGGCAGGCGTCCTGGTTGCAGTTTTAGGGCTTATCGACAGAGGTTCAACAATCCATCCAGGATCTCCCATTCGATGGCCTGGCACTGTTTTCCGATCAAATGGACAGTAAATTGCATGGCCTGAAAGACTCGAGGGCTCCCTTGTGCTCCCTGGGGCTGTACATGCTGGGGCTGGCAAGGAAGCAGTTTAAGCTGCAACACACCCACAGGTTCGGGAGCCAATGTCTGTTGGAGCCCTTCCACAATAAGAGCAAGAGTTATAAGCACCAGCAAGGCCATCAGCCGGCGTTCTCTGCTCACTCGAGCCCCACCCGTAAGCAACTGGGTAACAAGCAGGCGTTTTAAGGTGCTCTCGAGGACAACCTTCCAGCCTGTGTCCTGGATCCTGCTCCCCTGTTATTTTCCAACCACCTGTCCCCCTTCATCCCTGCCTGGGCTTCTATAACATCAGACCGGTGGGTCCTTAGCACAGTAGCAGGGAGATATACTCTCCAATTTATTTCTATCCCCTCCTCCCACCACCCTCTCCGTCCCTCTTCAAGGACCCTTCTCATGGGTATTCGCTTGGGAGGTGTAGGGCCTTCTGCCAGTGGGAGTCGTGGAGGAAGTCCCACTGCATCTGAGAGGGAAAGGGTTTTACTCCCACTATTTTTAAATCCCAAAAGCCAAGGGGGGTCTGTGCCCCGTCCTCGACCTACGGAGCCTCAACAAGTACCTCAAGAAGTTGAAGTTCCGCATGTTCTCCTTGGCCTCCATCATTCCTTCCCTGGATCCAGGAGACTGGAACGCCACCCTCAATCTGAAGGATGCTTATTTTCACATATCAATATTCCACAGTCACAGATGGTTCCTACATTTCGTAGTTGGGACCGCCCACTACCAATTCACAGTGCTCCTTTTTGGCCCTACGACACCAAGGGTGTTTATGAAATGCATGTTGATGGTGGTGGCCTACCTCAGACATTGGGGTATCCAGATTTACCCGTACCTCGACGACTGGCTCATCAAGGGCTGCTCTAGGGTCCCAGTCCAGCGCAGCGTTGAGACGTTGTGAGCCACTTGTCAAGCCCTGGGCCTGCTGATAAACGAACAAAAATCAACATTAATCCCGGTCCAACAGATAGAGTTTATTGGAGTGGTTCTCGACTCTACCTGAGCCAGAGCATTTCTGCCAGAGGCCAGGTACAAGGCAATGTCAGATCTGATTGCCAGCATCACCTCACATCCGCTCACCATGGCCGGGGTCTGTCCCAGACTATTGGGTCACATGGCAGCATGCATGTATGTTGTCCACCATGCGAGACTCAGGCTGCGTCCCCTCCCGATGTGGCTGGCGTCGGTCTACTCCCTGGCCAGACATCACCTACACAAAGTCATCACAGTCCCTCTGAGGATACTTATCTCTCTGCAGTGGTGGTCCGACCCGACGTTGATGTTGGAAGGTGTGCTGTTCGTGAGCCTGCAACCTATGGTCTCCCTAATTTTGGATGCATCCGACCTTGGATGGGGAGCACATCTCAGTACACTGTGGACTCAAGGGTTATGGTGTCAAGAGGAGTTTGCATTACATATAAACATCAGAGAGCTCAGGGCCATCCATCTGCCCTGCAGTGTCTTCCTTCCCCAACTGTCCGGTTGGGTTGTGCAGGTATTGACAGATGACACGGCCTCCCATGTTATATGTCAACAGGCAAGAGGGAGCACGTTCGTCTGTAGGACTTCTACATTCAGCATGCAATCCATCTGGAAACCTCGCACCTCCCCGGCATCCAGAACACATTGGCAGATCACTTCAGCAGGTCCTTCTTCTCTCACCACGAGTGGTCCCTCCACTCTGAGGTCATCAGAGTGCTCTTCGAGAAGTGGGGAGCTCCCTGAGTGGACCTGTTTGCCACCAGACAGAACAGAAAGTGTGATCAGTTCTGCTTTCTCCAAAGCCTCCGCCCAGGCTCGCTTTCCAATGCCTTTCTCCTGTCATGGTCAGGGGACCTGATGTACGCCTTCCCACCAATTCCCCTCATCAGCAAAAATCAAGAGGGATAAGGCATGAGTCATTATGATTGACCCGGCATGGCTTTGGCAGCATTGGTGTGGCATACTCATGGGCTGGCTGTGCCAGCCCCGTGGCCACTTCCCAGTCACCCAGACCTACTCTCGCAGGATCATGGTCGGCTCCTGCACCAAAACCTCATCTCTCTCCACCTCACAGCTGGGATGTTGCATGGTTGAATCCAGAGGAACAGGTATGCTTTAGTCAGGTACAGCAGGTTCTCTTGGATAGCAGAAAGCCCTCCACCACAGCGACCTGGCAACGTGGAAGTGTTTCTCCGGCTGGGTATCGGGAGTGCAACATCTTCCTGACATAGTCGTCTCTGCAGTCTATCCTGGATTACCTGCTTCACTTAAAGCACCAGGGCCTCACCTTCTCTTTGATCAAGGTGCACCTGGCAGCCATATTGGCCTTCCATTGTCGTGTCCAGGAGATCGGTATTCTTGCATGAGATGTGGATCAGGTTTCTGAAGGGCCTGGAAAGGCTCTTTCCACCAATCCAGTACCCAGTTCCCCAATGGGACCTCAACCTAGTCCTCTCCAGGCTCATGGGTCCGCCCTTTGAGCCCATGGCTTCTTGTTCCCTTTCCCACCTGTCGTGGAAGTTGCACTCCTTGTAGCGATTACCTCAGCGAGGCGTGTCTCCAAGATTAGAGCCCTCACTTCAGAGCCCCCGTACACGATATTCTCAAAGAACAAGGTCCAGCTGTGGCTTCAGCTGGCTTTTCTGCCTAAGGTGGTGTCACACTTCCATGTCAACCTGGATATCTTCCTCCCGATGTTCTGTCTGAAGCCTCACACGACCAATGAGGAGAGGCGGCTGCACACTCTGGATGTCAGGCACGCCCTGGGGTTCTACCTGGAGGGCACCAAGCCCTTCCGCAGATCGACCCAGCTCTTTATTGCAATAGCTAACAGGATGAAGGGCCTTCTGGTGTCCTCTCACAGAACTTCAAATTGGATCACCACCTGCATCCATAGTTGTTACGAGTTGACGCAGGCTGTCTCCCCACCGATAGTGAAGGCCCATTCGACTAGGGTGCAGGCGTCTTCAGCTGCCTTCCTGGCGCACATCCCTATCCAGGATATATGCAGGGCCACAACGTGGTCTTCAGTACACATGTTCACAACGCATTATGCCATTACTCAGCACCTGAGATGGTGCTGGCTTTGGCAGAGCTGTGTTGCAATCTACACGTCCATGAACTACCCGTCTCCGGTGGTACTACACCTACAATGGAATGGACATGAGCAAGCACTCAAAGAAGAAAAGATGGTTATCTTTTCGTAACTGTTGTTCTTCAAGATGTGTTGCTCATGTCCATTCCATGACCCACTCTCTTTCCCCTCTGTCGGAGTTCCGGCAAGAAGGAACTCTGGGATTGGGGAGCCGGTGGCGCCCCTCATACCAGTGCATACTCACGCCACTCCAGAGGGTGTCAGAGGTGGTCCCCTACAGATATCACTGAGGGAAAAACTTCCAGCACTGGTGCATGTGGCGAGCACACACACCTACAATGGAATGGACATGAACAACACATCTCAAAGAACACAGTTACGAAAAGGTAACAGTCTTTTTATGATCCTGTAACCAAGATCAGATTCAAGCCCAGCATCTCATAGTGTATAACTTTTAGGTACTGGCTTACATGTTGTTGTACTTGGCTTTTACTGAACAGTGGACCTGCATATTTTTTATTTTTGTTTCCTTCACCCAAAGCCAGAAAGGTCTAGATTCAGGCTTCACCCAACATGATATTTTTAAAGTAACTAATGTTCAATTTCCTCTTAAATTCAGTTTGACTATTAATTTGTCCATCTTTTTCTAGCAATGATCTGTGCTGGATGGCGTATTGCCCAGTGTGTACAGTATGTATTTCTAAAGGGTCATGTTTGCGTTTGAAAGCAGTCATCAGTCACTGAGTATCAGATTTAGTTAAGTTAAAAAAATTCTGAATGTGACTGTTTTGGAATTGGGCCTTAAAAAAAAGTTAGATATCATCCATGAACTCCCCCATTGTCCAAGATGTGCATGATCAGAATGTGCTACACTAAATGTTGCAAATAGAACCCAGCATATTGCAACAAGGTTAATTGTTTGATGCTTTGAATCAAACATTACATGCAAATTTAGAAGTGAAGGAGCTTTCAGTTCCCGAAACGTGTCTCACTAGTAGGTGAGGATACGATTGAGGATCTGAATGCATTTTATTGCATCAAGTTTAATTAGGAAGTAAAATGGACAATGAAATTCATATCCACAAACAAATTACAGTATATGCATCTCAGCTGGTGTAAATGTACATACTAGCTTCACTAAAGTCAATACAGCTCCATCAATTTACAGCACATGAGAATTTGGTCTTATGTGTCTATGAAAAATAATGTGTTAAAAAGATCTTTTAATGGCATCTATGAATTGCTCAATGTCCTTGGAGATTTCAGCAGATTGAATCTTCCATTAGTGTCGTTTACAGTTATTTGAAAGGAAGCTAAGATACATATGGTGGTAAATGTGACTTCTGCATTTATTAGAACTGTCCAAATCCTCTATTAAATGAATCCTCACAGAGTGTTTTAGAAAAGTTGTCAAAACTCTGTTATTGTTATATTCTGTTATTGCCTGTTCTTCCAAAAGTTCTCAGAAACTGGATCGCTATGTGGAAATTCTGCTTTATTGGTACGTTCTCTTCTTGTGCTCAGATAACAATCTTTTAAATAAATACATCAATGTTGTTATTTCTTGATATACTAAAACAAAATATAGTGTCTTGAGGAAAGGAAGCTGCTCAATTCAATGTTTTTTAAAGTAATGAATTAACTGTGACTTACTTTTTAGGAATCTAATGTATTCATCCAAATATTAGTTTTATTTCCTACATGTGCAATGTCTTAAAAGCAGTTTTTGTAAAATCCAAGCCTGAACTACCAAAGACAATGTATTTGTAAATATACATCTATATTTTATTGTACACTGCTCAAACCCTTTTGGGCAGTTGCCTTTGATATTTAATTTGCTGGGTAGTTTCTTACAACAATCTTGCTCTCTATCAGCTATGATCTAGAGAATTTGCAGGGTGTTTTAAATACACAGCAAATCCCAACTCTGTAGTCAATTCATTGTGGGAAGTTCTTGTATATTTCATTGTAGTACCTTTCCTAGATGTGCAATGGTGTTGTATTACATAAAAGGCAGATGTAACAGAAGTGTGGTGTGACAGATACAGTACATTCACAATCATGAAAAAAACAGTGTTAATGCATGTTAGAGGGATCAGCCAGCAGAGAAGTTGGAACTTTATTAATTGTTCCAAAATGTGGAAGGTGGTTTTTTTTCTGGTGGGTTAAACTCTTGTCAGCTGTGATTATGTCGTTTTAAATTCTTGCACAGATCAAGTATTTTGCTTTTGTATTACTTTTGCCTTCTTTGGAAAATCTAGGTTAGCCTGTCAACATAATAATTTTAAATTAAATATATTTTCATAGGTAGCTAATGTTAAAAATGATAGTGTAGGAAAGATGTGGTCATACAGGCCTTGGTCCTTCAAACGCTCATGCACGTGCACGACTTTATGGAAGTGAGTAGTCCAATGCATAAATGCTGGCAAAATTAGGGCCAGAATTAGTAATAAATCAGAATTAAAATTATTTATTCACCAAAAGCATGAGTATTCACTTATTTTATTGCAGCAAAACCAGAGATTCTCACTTCGGACAGACTTAGCAATGGCATGCTCCAGTGTGTGGCAGCTGGCTTCCCTGCCCCTACAATAGATTGGCGTTTCTGTCCAGGAACTGAGCAGAGGTGAGTAATTTCCAGAATGTGCCTTAAAAGTGACCTGACACACCTGATTTAAAATTCAAGCAATAAGATGTTGAAAGAAGACAGACAAATAGCTGTTCAACTGTTGCATTATTTCTGTAAGCATAGTCTTAATTGTTTTAGGTTTGTGCTGTTTGTTTGTTTGATTTTTTTTGTTTTTGTTTTGTTCCTTGAAGGGAGGATACTCAGTGTATTTTACTGAGTAGACATTAAAGGCCAAATTGAGTTCTGCTGTAAGCCAACTGACTACAAAGGCTTCACACCTTTTTACCCCGGGGGTGAATTTGACCCTAATTGTGTAACTTCACAGAATGACAGTTACAGAAGAGTTTCTATATATGGCTATTATCTTTTGGATTTATCATGTAATCACACAATTTTCCAGGACACAGGATAATGAAATTTCCATGTGTATACAGTAGATTACGTGTTAAATGTGTCTGGAGTTATTATGAAAATAAATTACTAAATTACCAGGTCTCTAAGAAGATTGAGGTAGAATATTTGTGAAAAACATTGTAAAATGCTCCTCACTTCTTCTATCAGAGACATAGTACTAACAAGTCACATATATCTCACTGGAATCATTTTTTTAAGCCTTAAATAGTCTGTTTTTTTAGTCTTCTTAAGGAAAATCTGTGTTGTTTTATAACTTATGTTACTGGTAATATTGCTAAAATTAGCATGCTTGCTTTTATATAGTAAAGATGTCAAATTTTAACATTACAATTGACTGGTCAAAAAAGAGTAAACCTACTTATCTTGACCAATTCATAGGGTAGCTCTTAGAAACAACAGCTTGTAAGGCAGTGCTGGGTATTTTGTTCTTTGATACATATGGTGCTGTTGTAGATTGGCCACGGATATATTTTTATCTTATTAAAACACAATGTCTCTGAATAAGTTATCAACAGTGGGAGTTGAAACCAGGACCTAAGGATCTGATAGCCTGAGCTAAAGAGCCAGGTTCCATAGCTCAAAGACTGCAGCAGACTCATAAATTTCTATATGTGGAGTAGCCAGTAGAATAGAACAGAGAGCCACGCTGTGTAGGTATGAGTTAAGTTGTCATGGAGGATTTACATATATAATTCTGCACACAGAGGAAAAAATATACTTCAGATCTGATCATTAGAGTATAAAAAGCAAGTTCTTCAGCTCAATCCTTCAATGGAGCTGTGTCAGTTCGCACCAGCTGAGGATCTGGCTGTAAATATTGAACTTTATCTTAGAAGAAAGTTCAAATAATGAAGAATTTACTCCAAGTAGTTATCCATAAAAGGGTAATTGTCAACAATGTTTCTCCCAGGTGTTTCAATTCACCAGCTATATCTCCAGTGGATGTGAAGATCTATTATAGAAATTCATCTTTTCCATCATTTGGAAGGATAGTGGTTGAAAGTACCGTTGATGCCAGCACATTCAAAAACAATGGCACTATATCATGTGAGGCTTCCAATGATGTTGCCAGAAGTACTGCTTTTTTCAACTTTGCTGTTAAAGGTAGTGGCCAAAATGGTATATAGAAATGTATAAAATGTAATTAAGATGATGGGATGTTTTAGCTCTGTGCATCGCAAATAATTACAATAAAACCCATATTTTAAATATATTGCCTGTTTCTGCCACTGACCTGCTCAGTAACATTCCCTCTCTGTGCCCTCTCACACCTTTGTCTGTCCTGTTTATTTAGACAATGGGGCCCTGAGTTTGGTTGGAGCCTCTAGGTGCCACTATAATAAAAATAATTAACAACAGATTGCAAACACACTGGTTAGAGGGTGCTAATGAGTTTTGGCCTCCATAGCAGCATAAAAGAATTCGCAGAATTGTAAAAGTGGAAATGCCAAAATACTTATCAGTTGCAACCTGTATGTTGTTCTTTGTTGTTTCCTTCTGTGCAAAAGCTAAGGTTTCTGTGCTGTTCTTTTTCTATACTATGTGCCATATATAATATACAAACAAAAATGGGTCAGATTTGAGGCATATTGATCTTTACAAGATTATGTTATTGTCCATATTCTTTGCTTCCAAAGAATATGTTGTAGAGAGCATATTAATCATTGGATAAGCTAAAAAATTGGGACTTTGAGAAAAGTTCAGTTAAGAAACTTTTTCTTTCACTAATTTGACATGAATCCTGTTTTTAAAGCTAAAAATAATTGGCGAGAGCTGTCTTAATGGGCTAACGATAGAACTTTGTGCTACCATGCAGAAACCCTGAGTTTAATTGGTCTTGGTTTCACGCTTCCTAGTTTGATGGGGCTGGGAGTGCTGAAGAAACAAACTAAACTGCACAGCTTCCAGGGTAAAGAGATGTCTCAACTTGCCATCAGGCAACATCATCTTACAGTTCTGTCCATTTAGGAGGGTTCTGATATTCAGCCTTCGGGTGGGGGGAGGGGAAAAAGGGAAAAGCATCTGGGCTCCAGCCGAAACAAAGAAAATATTCCCTGAGGAAGAAAAACAATTAGGGGGATAAAGATTTTACATTTAACAACTTTCTCTGTCTCTTTCTAGAACATATCAGTACCCACACTCTCTTCACTCCTTTACTGATAGGGTTTGGAGTAGCAGCAGGACTGATGTGCATCATAGTAATGATTCTTGTGTACAAATATCTACAGGTAAAATCAGATGCACACATTCATCTTAGTTGTTCTTGTTGAAGTTTTAGCAGTAAAATGGCCATTTTTCCCCTTTTTTTCCAGAAACCCAAATATGAAGTTCAGTGGAAAGTTGTTGAAGAAATAAATGGAAACAACTATGTTTATATAGACCCAACACAACTTCCATATGATCAGAAATGGGAGTTTCCTAGAAACCGATTGAGTTTTGGTTAGTTTAGGTTTATTTAACTTCATTTCCAATGTGAAATTTTCAATCCCTTTTCTATGAGACCTTGTCATGAAAACATAGCATTTGCTATCAATAATATATTGAATATTAAAATATATAATAATGACAACAGCTGCTTTTCAGCATGCAATTTGAGGAAGCAGTTTCCTGTCTTAAACTACTTCCATTTCCTTTGAGAAGAATAAATGGCTTAAATTGATCCAATAATCTACTACTGATCTTTTTTTAATATAAAGCAAAAAGAACCACTGATAGGTAAAATGTTGTGACACCCATTAAAAGTTGTCTGGCAATTTTTAGGTAAAACTCTTGGTGCTGGAGCTTTTGGGAAAGTTGTGGAGGCTACTGCATATGGTCTGTTTAAATCTGATGCTGCAATGACAGTAGCAGTAAAAATGCTCAAACGTAAGTTTCTACTATGTACAATATTCTTTTTTCCTAACTTTCTTCTATTGTACACCGAATTTGCTGAATGACATGTTTTTCATTCCAGCAAGTGCCCATTTAACGGAGAGAGAAGCCTTAATGTCTGAACTCAAAGTTCTGAGTTACCTTGGTAACCACATTAATATTGTGAATCTACTTGGAGCCTGCACTGTTGGAGGTAAAGTTATGAGATTACTGGATTTTTGTAATTGCCTTATTGTAGAAGTAGAAACCTATTCCATACATACCTTGAATTGCTTAGTCATGATGAAATGTTTAACCTTCTCATGTAAGACCTTTCTTCTAGACTTGAGACCATATTAAAAAATCCACACACAAAAAACCCCAAGACCATAGTAATTCTGGCTAGAAATGAAGATTAGTTTTTTGCTGACATGACCCAGCACATGGTCCATTTCTGGACTCCATTGGATTGGCACATAAAACAGCTTCCTCTTAAGAGTTCATAAAATGGGCTGTCTATGTTTGTCGTCAGCAACATTAGCTTCCAAAAATGAGAACAGACATTAAAAGGGCATGTTTAGCTTTGAGGGAAAAAAATCTGCGGGGGAGTCAGGACCTTATAACAGCCTTCAAATACGTTAAGGTCTGCTATAAAGAGAATGGGGATCAATTCTCTATGTCCACTGAAGGTAAGATAAAAAGTAACAGGCTTAATGTGCAGCAAGGGAGATTCAGGTTAGATATTAGGAAGAACTTTTTAACTATAAGCGTAGTTAAGTTCTGAAATCTGCTTCCAAGGGAGATTGTGGAGTCCCCATCATTGGAGGCGTTTAAGAACAAGTTGGACAAACCACCTGTCAAGGATGGTCTAGGTTTTCTTGGTCCAGTCACAGAGCAGGGGGCTGGACTTGATGACTTCCTAAGATCCTTTTCAGCCCTACTTTCTATGGTTCTATGGTTTTATGGTTTATTAGTGTCTGAACTGAGTTATTCTTTACTATCTACTGTTGAACTGGTATATGTATTATCTTGTACAGTCCTCAGATAATCTATTTAAACTGCAGCAAACATTTATTATTGGAATATTAGGGTTATTAATTCTAAATACTTATCAGTCAAAAAATGAAAAAGTAAGGTTCTCAAAGTAAGTAACTTTGTTTACATTGCACATCCTGGACATTTTGGTTTTATATATTTAAGAACATAAACAGTAATGTTAACATGCACACATAAATAATCCAACAAATAATTGAAGCTTATATCCAACAAATAATTGAAGCTTATATACAGTGATTTCTTAACTTTGCTGCATTTAAATTTGTAACCTACATGTTATGCTAACATAAATGTTTGTAATTTTTAATTTCTCCATTTTACTTTTCAAAGGAAAAAATCTTGGAATAATTCAGAGTTTTAGATTTATGCAAAACATTCCACCCTTTCATAATTCAAAAATGACTGAAGGGATTTGGTTCAAATGATCCACAAAGCAAATTCTATGGCCTGAATCAATGCATGGACTATTTCAGACAAAAAAGAGAATTTTATAAAGTATAAGCTTATGAAAATATAGGGTTTGTAATAATCCTGATGTAATCTTAACTATAGTATTTGCTCTTATGGAAACCATAATTATTAAACTAAAGAAAAACTATGAGGATATATTGGTACAGAATGATCCTACGAATGAAATAATGGGCAGCATTATTACATATTCAAATGCCGTCGCTGCAGTCATTCATTCGGAAAGCATACATATGATCTATAAACATCTATGCTGTTGGTGACTTTTAATTCCCCTTTTAAATTTCATTTTAATATTCTAAGATCTAGTGTAACTTAGTTTTCTGTCTCAGCAGACTGTTCTATGTGAATGATTTTTCCCATTATACTGCAGAGTATAACACCCTACATTATTTAAAAACATAGCTGAAAGAACTCGAAGCTCTACTGTAAACAGAAGTGAATCAAAAGGATTAATGTTTGAAGCCTCTTACTCTAATATTTGGAACAAATAACTTCCTTCAGGAAGTGAGCAAAATCATACAGATGTGTCTGGCCAGAAACATTATCACATGAAGAGGGAAAAAAGACTTATTTGTTTAATTTTTATACAGTGTGATACTATTGATGAGGGGAAAATTAATTGGGAATGACATAGCTTTAATTGCACAATAGTAACTAGTCCATGAATGAGGAAACTGCTGCTGTAACTTCACTATGACTTTTCATGTCTAGACAATACTGTGTTGTGTGACTTCAAATAGGACATTTTGTGTGTTTAATTGAAGAATATTTTTGTATAAGATTTTTGACTCTGAAAGCAAACCTTATACCCACCTTTTAAACTCCCTCTGCATCTGCAGGCCCCACTCTGGTCATCACGGAATATTGCTGCTATGGTGATCTTTTGAATTTTCTGAGAAGGAAACGCGATTCATTTATTTGCCCAAAGCATGACGAATATGCAGAAACAGCAGTTTATGAGAACCTTCTGCATCAAAAAGGGCCTGCATGGTAAGAATAATCTGCTACTACATAAAGGCATAGCCAGAAAGTTCAGAGGGAGGGTAAATCAAAGCTGATCTAGTGAAAAGAAATCACAAGAGGGCTTTTGTGTAGTGTTTTCTAAAGATTGCATCAATTTATTTAAAAAATCAGTTTATTATAAAAAGATGATTTAATTTTTACAAGTAATTTGTTTGTTTTAAAGATTATAGTTCAAATTATTTCATACACTTCTATTTTTACTGATTCAACGGCTTTTCTATGATTGTGTCCAGTGCCACTCCTTGGATCAAAAACTTCCATCTTTATTTTTAATTATCATTACTGCTAATGGTTGGCACCAGTCAGTTTGCAACGTAAATGACAATATGGCTAATGTTGTTGTGTTATAGCACTCTGTGTTACCATGAGTTCCTGCATTTGCAGATGGCTTTTTACAACAAAAATAATGCCTTTCAGTACTGCACTAAATCACACAGATCTTGTGACAAAAGACCCTGTGCCACTATTTTGGAGTTAGGATTTCCCCAAACATTGTTCTTGCACTCTTTTTTCCCCCAGTGTTCATCTGCCTACATATTATTAAAGAATTCCATTTAAGATACAACCCAAGTTCTTCTTCTTAGGACATTTTCACATACATCTGTGCAAAGGTTCTCCTAATTCCTTCTTTTCTTTAAAGTACTGAAGATGTCATTTATCAAACCTTCACTTGTATAGCAATAAAGGACCCGCTCTATATTTCAGTCTATACTTTGCAGCATTGAGCCCATTACTCTACTTTAGCAAACTGAACTTAAAAAGAATCCAATAGAGCTCTTAGTAGGAGCTAAAGCACTTTGCTACAGTAGGGATTTATGTCCCTTTGGTGTTAAGGATGTATCTGCCATATCACCATTGTGCCATAACACCTTCAAGAGAAGATTGGTCATGCTAGATCAGTACATGGATAGACAACACTGAAGAAACCACCTATGTGTTTAAGGAAGTGGTTCTGGAGTTTCCATTTGAATCCCACCATGAGGTTATGACTCCTATTGGAGGTGCCATCTTTCAAATATGATATAAAGCTGAGAATCTCATTATTTGAGTTTCACATAGCACTTTTTTATAAAAGGTTGGATGGGGTCTGTAGAGTCTTTACCAAATTTGAGTATTGCTGTGTGCTGTTGAATTGCAGCTGCATAACACCCCAGAGGTCTCTGCCCTTCAATGGAGGGGTGAAGTGTTTAATTACCTCTCAGGTTGTTGTGAGACCAAGCGTAATGTTTGCAAAGTGAAAAGATATTCTTGGATAAAAGGTGTTGTATATGGGCAGGGTAAAGTGAATTTTTGTGTCCATATAGTTCAAAAAGATACTAAATGGAAAAATATTCATCATTGTAAAGGTATATATTTATAAACTATATGTAATTAGAGTCCATACATTTGAATATGCATAGGGATGGGAAAACTGATTTTAAAAAAATACAAATTCCCTCTAACTTATCCTGATTTCTGCAACCAAACTTGAACCCTTTTGGAAATTCTGATGTTCAGTTAACTTTTCTCTCCAGTTTTATCTTCTGAATTTCAACTGAAACTTGAATTACCGAATATATTGATAGAAGCGGTCCTGAATAGAAGAAGGAAACATTAGAATGTCATCAGAAATATCTAGCCATTTCTTTTCCAGACTCAACCTTAACTATAAGGAATATAAACAAAAATTTTTTGGGTGCTTATCTGAACAAAACTCCAGACTTTGAGATCAGACCATTACTTATCTTATAATGTACATCCTTATAGCCTATTTTGTCAAATCTCATCACTCTCTGTATAGAATTTTTATTTTCTTTTTAAAAATAATTAACACTCACAAACCTTACGTTTTTCCAGTGTTAATCATTTGTAAAATTTTAGATTCAGATTTGTTCTTAATATTTTTATGCTAAATTATCCACACAGTGATGTCATCAATGAATACATGGACATGAAACCAGGAGTCTCTTATGTTGTTCCACCAAAAGCAGATAAAAGAAGATCAGGGAAGACAGGTAAGTACTTATCCAGAAATCTAACTCACATCCTATAGTACAAAGAGGGATTTCTGATTTCTTTTCAATTTTAAAATGATCTTTGATGATGGATGTGTCCAATTAAAACCCTAATTCAATGTGACAAGGACTAAAAAAAGAATAAATTCAGTTAAAAAGGCTTCATGTGTCTCTATGTTGTGAAAACATTTAGATGAGGGATTCAAATGATTATTCTACCATTTTGGTAATGGATGTTATTGTTAGAAGCAAGAGGAAAACCAAGGACATGGTAGGCCTTTTACTCAATGCGGGGGGGGAAAACAATAACAAAATGTGGAAATGGCAGACATGCTAAATGACTTTTTTGTTTAAGTTTTCATAAAAAATTTAATAGCAATTGGACATCTAACATAGTAAATGTCAATGAAAATGAGGTAGGATCAGCGGCTAAAATAGGGAAAGAACAACTGAAAAATTACTTAAACAACTTAGATGTCTTCAAGTCACAGACGCCCGATGAAATATATCCTAGAATACTCAAGGAGCTGACAGAGGAGATATCTAAGTCATTAGTGATTATTTTTGAAAAGTCATAGAAGACTAGAGAGATTCCAGAGGACTAGAAAAGGGCAAATGTAATGCCAATTTATAAAAAGGGGAATAAGGACAACCTGGGGGGCTACAGACCAGTCTGCATAACTTCAGTACCTGGAAAGATAATGTAGCAAATAATTAAGCAATCAACTTGCAAATGCCGAGAAGCTCATAAGGTAACAGTCAGCATGGATTTGTCAAGAACTAACCATATCAAACCAACCTAATAGCGTTCTTTGAAAGGGTAACAAGTCTTGTGGATGGGGGGAAGCAATAGATGTGGTATATCTTGACTTTAGTAAGGCTTTTGATGCTGTCTCGCATGACCTTCTCATAAACAAACTAGGGAAATGCAACCTAGATGGAGTTACTATAAGGATGGGTGCATAACTGGTTGGAAAACCATTCCCAGAGAGTAGTTATCAGTGGTTCATAGTCAAGCTGGAAGGGCAAACCAACTGGGGTCCCACAGGGATCAGTTCTGGGTCTGATTCTGTTCAATATCTTCATCAATGATTTAGATAATGGCATAGAGAATACACTTATAAAGTTTGCGGATGATACCAAGCTGGGAGGGTTGCAAGTGCTTTGGAGGATAGGATTAAAATTCAAAATGATCTGGAAAAACTGGAGAAATGGTCTGAAAGTAAATAGGATGAAATTCAATAAGGACAAATGCAAAGCACTCCACTTGGGAAATAACAATCAGTTGCACACATACAAATGGGAAATGACTGCCTAGGAAGAAGTACTGCAGAAAGGGATCTGTCTGTCATAGTGGATCACAAGCTAAATATGAATCAACAGTGTAACACTGTTGCAAAAAAAGCAAACGTCATTCTGGGGTGTATTAGCAGGAGTATTGTAAGTAAGACATGAGAAGTAATTCTTCCATTTTACTCCACACTGATTAGGCCTCAACTGGAGTCCAGTTGTGTCCAGTTCTGGGCACCACATTTCAGGAAAGATGTGGACAAATTGGAGAAAGTCCAGAGAAGAGCAACAAAAATGAGTAAAGGTCTAGAAAACACGACCTATGAGGAATGATTGAAAAAATTGGATTTGTTTAGTCAGGAGAAGAGAAGACTGAAGGGGGACGTGATAACAGTTTTCAAGTACATAAAAGATCATCACAAAGAGGAGGAAGAAAAATGGTTCTCTTTAATCTCTGAGGATAGGACAAGGAGCAATGGGCTTAAATTGCAGCAAGCGATTTAGGTTGGACATTAGGTGGGGTGGTGGGTAGCTGTCAGGGTAGTTAATCACTGGAATAAATTGCCTAGGGAGGTTGTGGACTCTCCCTCATTGGAGATTTTTAAGAGCAAGATTGACAAACACCTGTCAGGGATGGTCAGATAATACTGAGCCCTGCCTTGAGTGCAGGGGACTAGAATACCAGACCTCTTGAGGTCCCTTCCAGTCCTATGATTCTATGTATGGACTGAGTTTCCTTATTTATTCAGCACCACATTCTGATAAATATAAGCCAAATATGTTTCCAGGCCATCATACTTAGTCCATTTATAAAGTGTTTGCATTTGTGTTGCTTAGGATCATATATGGATCAAGATGTTACCATTGCCATATTAGAAGATGATGAATTGGCTCTGGACGTTGAAGATCTACTGAGTTTTTCTTATCAAGTGGCAAAGGGCATGAGCTTCCTTGCCTCCAAAAATGTAAGTTGTGAATTCGAGTGACAGGTTTTCTTCACATATTGACATTTTAAAACATGACTATTTCACCTGTTCAGTAATCTTTTTAACAAACACTGCAAATTAACAGGGTTCTGCTGTACTGTGAAGACTTGACTAGTCTATTCCTTTGTGTAAATCTAGTCCTGCATTTTATCAGCCTAGAGTTTTGCCCTGAAAAGTGCTAGTCTGCTCAGAATTAATTTTCCCTGGACTTTACTCGCATGAAGAAAAACCTCTAGGCTACCTCTGGGAGTACAATGCTCAAAAGGCAGCAGAATTGTTGCATTTCCATTGCTGAGGGCACTGGGAATTGGAGAGCTCCTTCAGTGCATGGAACAGAGCAATGCTATGGCTCTGTGCCCAGAAGTGTGAAGGGAGGGATAGGCCTGAGGAGTTGTAAGGGTGTGTGCACCGTATCCACAAACTCCACTGACTGTGTGTGTATGGAGAAAGCAGGAGCAGCAGGTCCTTTTCTGTTGCTACTTCCTATGTCCTGCTGGTGAAGTTGAGGATTTTGGTCTATAGCAGGGGTGGCCAAACTGCGGCTCTTTTATGATTAAAGTGCGACTCACAGAGCTCCCCCCCTCCCCAGTTCTCCATCTACCAGACTGCAGGGGAGCTTGGGGCTTCTGCCCGGCAGCAGGGTGGTGGGGCTAGGGGCTTCTGCCCAGCAGGGAGGGGGGGTGTCTTGGGGCTTCAGCCCTGCAGGGTGCACCTGCTGGGATCAGGGCTTCAGCAGGAGCGGGGCTGAATCCCCAGGAGGCATGTCCCGTGGGGTGAAGTCCTGAGCCCCAGCAGGCATGTCCCCTGGGGCTGACACCCTGAGACTCCCCTACCCTCTGGGCAGAAGCTCCTAGCCCCACCACCCCACCGCAGGGCAGAAGCCCTGCTCCAACTGGCGTGTCCAGCTCTCAAACTTCTGAAGATTGTCGTAGTTCGGCTCAGAGGGTCAATAAGTTTGGCCTTTCCTTTGACTGCTGGAGCACGCAGCCCGTCTAATAAAATCTCCATCTGTTTTTTTGGTGCTATCTGATCCCATACAAGCCCTGAAGACTTAATTTTTCAGGGACTTATATAGTGTGGAAACTAGATAGAATTTGTGAATGAATCTGATCTTCAAAGGAGGAGATCCCTCCAAAAAGACAGTAAACTCCTGAATGTTTTAGATGGCTTACTCTCTGTGATATCTGTAAACAGTTTACAAACTGAAGAGCATTAGAAGACCTCTGAAGAAAGGTCTATTTGCACAAAATGTATGTGTTCAGAATTAAACCCTGGATGATCTGATACTTTTGAACCATAGAACACTTCTTAAACAAGTGGATCATTACAGGATGGGTATTTTCAAAGTTTTGGTTTAACATATGGGATACTTTTAGTTTCCTACTGAAGAATCTTTGTAATTTTTTAAAAAAATGTTAAAATCAACATAGAGACCCACAAATTGTTTTCATTTGGACACACTGTGTGCTCTGTGCTTTCTAAAGGTTTCATAGGAAAAATTATGGAATATCAGAAAGGGATTTGTGCCAAATAGAAAGTTAGAGCTATTAATAATGTCCCTGCAGTTGCAATAAGATTTTTACTTTTTGAAAACAATTTGGCAATTAATATGAAAAAAGTAATAAAATCTAGGAACATTATGTTGTACAGTATATTTTGAATCTACTGTAAAAACAAATATATGTAATTTTAAACTTCCTGCCCCACAAACAAGTCTTAATGAAAGCCTTAGTCACTTTTGAAAATGAGAATTAGGTTCCTAAGAAATATATTTGAATTTTTGAGCCTGTATTTTTGCCAATTTCTAGTTTCCATGACCTTCCCCTAGGTCATGAAAATTGTTTTAAAAAAAAACTATAATTTTTTTTCCATAGAAACAAATTGCATTTTTCCCCCTCTGACTGTGTTAGAAAATAGCCCAATCGCTTTTTAATGAAACTTTCAGAAAAAAAAAATTTCTGGCTCAGAGCAAGCACACTGAACTTCAGCTGAAAGTGTGAAACTCTGAGAAAGTTATAAGGAACAGAAAATGATCCTTCCTAATGGAAATGCTTAGGCCACCTTAACTATAGAAAGCAGTATATGCACTTCCTCCTGTATGTTTCGGTAACATTATCGTGCTATAAAGCTTGATAGCCAAGTAAGCTTTTTAAACTCAAACGCTTTGACTTTCAGTTTGCACTATATATTATGTATCGTTAAGTACATGTATATTCAAGAAAACACACACAGTCAGCAATTCTGCATCAGCAGTGAAAAGGACTGAACATACTAACAAATATTTTCCTGTTTGCTTGTTTTATTACTTTAGTGCATTCATCGGGATCTGGCGGCAAGAAACATACTTCTCACTCATGGTCGAATAACAAAAATTTGTGACTTTGGCCTTGCTAGAGATATAAGGAATGACTCAAATTATGTGGTCAAAGGAAATGTAAGTACTTGACTCAGAAGCATTCTAAATTGTCTTAATTGTGAAAGAATCTTTTTCTAAAATTTAGTTATTTGTATGTCCTTTAAACTTAGTGGTGCTGTATTTGTTTGGTTAATTATTAAAATAAGTATTCATACAACAATATTCTAAAAATCAGGTTTTATGGTGTTTGCTTTGTTATAAATATCATGCAGATAACAGAAATTGTATTCTAAATGTGGGATATTTATTGAGTAGGACAAAGTGGGAAGCAGAAATAGGCTTGATTTTTCACTGGTTCTATATTCTGAGGTTAGCAATGAAACTGACTTTAATTTGTATATGTAACAGACATAACCTGACACTTGCAGTTGTAGATCCAGATAGATATGGACTGTAGTGAGATGTGACATTTTGGACCAAAAAAGAAAAGTCTGAATACTCCAATCCAGACTATTCACAATTACACTAAGACCCCTTTTCACCAAATCTTAAAGTGAATGCACATTGCATTTATGCCCAGTTTAAGTCCCTTTTTAACTGCCAGAGCTGTTCATGGGTCCTTGGTGAAAATCTGACACATATGGGAATAAACTACAGGAGCATGCTGAAGAAACAAAAAATCAAGCTGTGGCAAGCTGAGAAGGGTAGAGAATTCCACAGTCCCTCTCTCACTGAAAGTGCCTGTTCCTCCCGAATAAACCCAATGGGTGATCGCTTAGGTGCCTTTGATAATCTCAACTGCTTTGGTGTCCCACAGGAAGAGGCAGTCTTTAAGGTAACCAGAATGTGACCATTTAAGGCTTAAGTGAAAAAGACTGCATTTGTCAGCTGGTTTTGGAGATCTGCCCCAGCCATGTGTGCTGTTCCCAAAGTTCAGTGTAGGGTACAACTGAAGTCAGAGGAAGAATTCAGCAAAGCAGCCAGGCTGGGTTGGTAAAATATCTACTGAGTGCTGCTCAGTGACATTTACAAAGAAACTGAAGTGAGAGGCCAGGTTTAATTTTCAACCTCAAGTCAGGATCTGCTTGATCAAGGATTTTTAAGTGCAGGCCAGCAGCTTGTGAGGTGGGCAGTAACTAATTACATTACACTTGTCTAGACTATGCTTTAGGTTGCCCTGAGCTGCTTGACAATAGGATTTTTCTTAGTCTGAGAAGGTTAGAGAAGGATAGGCAGCAGCTGCTGGGGAAGAAGGGAAACTGGGGCTGCTGTGGGAGGGGCTCCTCTAATTGTGTCTGGCCTGATCTTAAACCCAGCTACGGCTATAGGAGCATTGATGCTCCAAACAATGGCGGCAGCCACTTCTGCTGCAAGTAGCTGCACGAGTATTTGGTTGTTCTAACTCAGCCAAACATTATTCCAATATCTAACTATTGCAGCTATATATTTCATTTAGTAAACCATGAGTAACTCAAATTGCTCATCTACTCCAACATCTACATGTTCTTTTCATCACCCATAACTCTAGGCAGTTGATGGAAAGATATTACCCTTTCCTTTCCCTTCTCATTTTCCTCTCTTCCTCTTAAGTCCTTTCCCTACTTCCTGCTTCCCTTCCCTACAGGACATCAAGGCTCTCCTAGACAGAGTAGCTATAATATATTTTGGTATACATTGTTTCAAAAGAGTTAGAAGGAAAGGGCTGGGATTCTCCCATTGCAATACAAACATTCTGGGAACAGCGGAAAGGTCAAAGGAATGAGAGGGAAGAAAGGAAATCAATCAAGAGGTTTTGAACACTTTTTTTTAACCATTTCCTTTTCAGCAGTTTGCATTTTTGAGGGTGGGGGAGGGTGTATTAGAAGCTAAAGCAGCTGCCTTGGTTGTCTGCTTGAAAAACTGGAGTGCATCAGAGCAGTGTAAGCATAATAGCTAATTCAAATGAAGAGATATGCATATTCAGAGTCTGATTATTTTAAACAACCATACCATGTTTATACAAATCCTTGCACTCTGATTGGCTATCATCCATTTTAAAGCAGAAACAGGGAGTCACACACTGTTTATAAAAACAACTATATAACTGGTTTCAGAGTAGCAGCCGTGTTAGTCTGTATTCGCAAAAAGAAAAGGAGTACTTGTGGCACTTGAGTACTTGATGCATCTGATGAAGTGAGCTGTAGCTCACGAAAGCTTATGCTCAAATAAATTTGTTAATCTCTAAGGTGCCACAACTATATAGCTGTTATGCAAATCAGACACTTAAACTAATCAGAGTGCAAGGAATGGTATAAATGTAGAAAGCCTGTACAGTGATGGATCAGTAACTGTATGGTATCTCTGCACTCTGACTTGCAGAGAGAATTCCACTTCAGTAATAATATATAAAAAGATAGGTAACCATTATGTAAATGTACATTTGATATTATTAAATTTTCTAACCTGCTTGTCTAATTTTTATTTTCACCTTCATACCCTACCCCTGTAAAGGCTCGGCTTCCTGTAAAGTGGATGGCACCTGAAAGTATTTTCAACTGTGTTTATACTTTCGAGAGTGACGTCTGGTCTTATGGAATATTGCTTTGGGAACTGTTTTCTTTAGGTAAGATATTTACTGATTGAATGTGTCCTTTGTATTTCACCTAGAGTTTATTTCTGATTTTAAAATGGCATTGATTAATTAAATGTTGTATCCACAGGAAGCAGCCCCTACCCTGGAATGCCTGTGGACTCCAAGTTTTATAAAATGATTAAGGAAGGATACAGAATGTTTAGTCCAGAATGTGCACCAGTTGAAATGTAAGAGACAAGCTATCACTTACTAATCAGCCAATAATTTTTGAAACAAAGAAAGTAAAACTTCCAGATATGGGCTAAATGTACCTTATAATGTTGCCTTTTTTTCCCCTTCAAATTTTCTACAGCTGAACTAGCTTTAATTGTATAACACCTGCATACTGTGATCCTTTTATGGCCTAATGGCTCTGTCATTAAAGATATTCTAAGGTAAAGATAATAAAGATAATACACAGAGCATACTAAGCAGTTTCAGTTGATGTAAACTGGTTAAATTGCACCAACTTGTGCAATTACTGTAGTTGTGTTCTACTTCCTGATTGGAATAAGATGGTCCAAGCATCTTTTTTACTAGCCATTTCCAGTGTAGTGTTTTTTTCAAATTTGTCAATATCAGACCCATTATCTTTAAATAGGTAGCCATCCTGCTGTAGCAACTCCTTACGCAGAACTTCCATTACTGTCAAATGGAGTTCTCCCCACAGAATCTCAGCAGCATTCGGTCCTTAGTATCCATAGCCAATTGGGCCAGTGCTACAATTTCTACTCTTATAAAATTTGTTCAAACAGTTTTACTTAGCTGTGTTTTGAAATTTTGGAATAAGTTGCTATTGTTACACTGGATAACTTCAATCTGTTTTAGCCCATACAGATAATAATGGAGTTTTAATACAGAAATTATTTCTTGCTGAAATTTCCAGTCAATAATATTTAATTTAACATCTTTGCAGGTATGAGATAATGAAGAGTTGCTGGGATGCTGATCCTGTACAGAGACCAACATTTAAGCAAATTGTACAGCTAATTGAGCAGCAGCTTTCAGATAATGCAAACCATGTAAGTATGAACTTCCAAATGGATCTTCAACCTTTAATATTACATTTCTCAAAAACCTGTGTGATGTAAATCAGACTCTAAAAAGAGAGCAAAAAATTTAGTGGCCTTGTTATTGGTGTACTTTTGCACTGTAAATTTTTCCTGTTAGGATAATTTTCAGACTTACCCCTAGCTCTTCGCTGCGCCATTCCTTCACAAATGGTATGCTCATACTAACTTTTGAAAACTGTGTGTCTGCATAAAATGAAATAAACACAAGTTAGAGTATGTTTTTGATGTTTTGCATGTTTTTGAAAATGTACATACTGTACATGTTGTTATAAAATATGGTCATAGCTTTTGATTTCTTCATATCTTAAAACACAGACTAATATATATGTATGGAATCTCATAATTGTGGATGTATCAGTCAGGAATGTACCTTTTCTTTTGTTTGAACAGCTAAGTAATACACTTTCTGGATTTGGCCTTTCTTTACTTTTTGATCTGTCTGCTCTGTTATTTTATCAGTGAGACGTAGGCTCCTAATTGCTTACATCACTTTTGAAAATGAGATTTAGGCTCCTAAATGAGTTAGGTGTTGCATATGAATGAAGCAACACCTACAGACCTTTAAAAATCTGGGCCCTGGTGCCTGTCACGTGGAATGTAAGTGTTGACAAGCTAGCATCTTGCTGTACTCAGTTCTCTTACTAAGAACTTTGTGGATGGATAAATGGACAACAGGTCTTAAAGAAGGAATTATGCCATTTCAGAGACACAGATCCTGCCCTGTGACGAATGATTTACAGATCTGCACCTAAGGATCATGTGACCATATATGGGGTTCGAACTTGCTTCTAGGTTAAAAATAATGGTTCCTTGGAAATTCTAGGTGCCTGGCTTTGACACAAACACAAGTGGCTCCCCAATATGTTGAGAAATGAGGAAACCAAAAACTGCTGGGGTTCAATTGCTTCCTTTAACATATTTTTGACAAACTACAAGCGTTACTGAAACAAAAGCAAAAATGTGAGGAAAAGTATGAAATTATTGGAGGGATTTTCAAAGATTCAGATGAAAGATTTCAAAGATTTCTGTTTAAAATTATCTTACAAAATCTCCTGTCTTTTTTTAATAACTGAGTTTGGGGTTCTGATCCATTTTAGAGAACAATTAAATCCAGGCACTCTTAAATTCTATTTCAGGATGTACTTTAATTTCCCAAGGAAACAAATTACCTGGATAGATGTTACCAGGGCACATTGTAAAACAGGGCAACTAACAGCAATGGTGAATTCTGCTTATATGAAGGAGGCATTCAGTGAAATATTGACAATAGTGTCTGTCTTCTCCAGGCTTACTCAAACTTTTCACCCCATCAAGGAAATGCTGCAGATCACTCAGTGAGGATTAATTCTGTGGGGAGCAGCACATCATCTACTCAGCCCCTTGTGGTACGCGAAGATGCTTGAAAGAGGAGAGGGACATCTGGAAAATAGGCAACCCAGATGGATTAGGCACTCTTATTCTGTAGGGGACAAGAGAGGGTAGACATTAATGATTTGTCTTACTTTACTCACTACCAGGGTAGTCTGAACATTGCTATAATACTGTCCTTTACCACGCACCGTTACATGTAAACTTAGTCCATCCACCACATCCATTGTTGCAGTTTTGACTGAAGCTGTATATACTTTGCTATATTGTATGTTTTTGCAGTAGGGAGTCATATAAACAAAAATCTAAATCTTAAACCTGGGTCTGGAGCTAGTTGAATACAAACCAAACCAACTATTAAACAGTCCATCTCTAGATCTGTGCCTGGAAAGCTAATAGTCATTTTCTGATTGCTTGGTTGTTGGGGATTTTTTGCTACATTTCTGAAATAAATACATACATACATACATACACACATACAAATAGCTGCTTGCAAGTGGCAAGTCTAAAACCCTACAAATGTCACAAGCAGGTGTTCTGAATTGGATGCCACGAGAAGAGGGTAACATGTGGACATGGAGAGGGGTGGGAGTGAATAGAATAACACCTCCCGCCTTTCCTCCCCAGCACCTCAGCCTGTGCAGCCACTAGACCATTGAAGGGACTCTGCAATTAGGGAAGGCTTTCCAGACATCTGGGGAAGGAGAGCATTGTGGAGTTTCTCTCCCCTTCCCTCATGTCTGAGGTTAAGATTTTGTCACGGGTATTTTTGGTAAAAGTCAGGAACAGGTCTTGTGCAATAAACAAAAATTCACAGAAGCCTATGACCTGTCCCTCAAAATACTCAAAATAACTGACAAAATGGGGCTGATGTGGGGGATGAGAGCCCGAGCCCTGCTGCAGGATGGGAAAGGGGGGTCCAGCACCCACTGCTTCGGCTGACAGCTCTGGGGCCCCCTGGCGCCCACAGTGGCTCTGAGCTCCAGGGCCAGCGGCTTGGAGCTCTGGGTTCTTCTGACACCAGCAGCTGCTGAGAGTTGCAGGGGCACCCTCCCCACCCATGGCAACTGGGAGCTGTTCCAGGGTCCCAGCTAGCTGACAGCTCCAGCCCCGCTCACCCCAGGGCTGAAGGGAGATGTCATAGAGGTCGCTGGAAGACACAGTATCCATGACTTCTGTGACCGCTGTGACATAATCTTAGCCTTACTCATGTCCCAGCCCGTATTTCACATAGTTTTCATTCCAAGCAAAGAGTGTGGTGTTGCAGGGTGGAAAGGGAGTAGTACATGCTTGGCTAATATTTGTATCTTAAAAATGGACAAAAAATGTGAAAGTGAAAAATCTCTTTCCGTAGTTGTAGTAGTTAGATCTGGGTACAGAGGAGACATTTATAGTAGGATCCACATACCTTAAGGACAGGCAGTTAATTTTTCACCTTATTTTAAACAAATAATTCTTCTTCAAATTCTTCGTCAAAGAATTCTTCTTTCCAGAGGCCCCTTGTGTTCATACAAGTGTAAATTTCCCACAGATGGGCCCACATACCCGTAACCTGGGAAGGGCTTTGTTCTCAGTCCCTTCGTCTTTCCAGATGAATATTGTGTGATGGTAAAATTAATAAGAGGGAGAGATTATTAATTGGGAAACATTGGATCTTAATGTAGCAGAACACAAAATAGAGCTTCAGCCTTATTTTACAGGTATGTAGATTTGGGGTGAGAATATGTTTTTTAAAAATACTAGCCCTGAGCCCAAGACTCTGGTTAAGTGTCCGAAACAACCATTTTTTCCAGCACAGATACTGCTAGTTCTTCTCTTCCTATATTCCTGTCAAGTATAAATCAGCAAAAACATTGAAAGAAGCATGTAGGAGACAGTACTACTTAAGTACCTATTTATTTACAATGTGCCTGCACTTAAGCACTCTGTTATTTATACTCAACATACTAGTCAGTCTCATTGTTCTGAGTTTACATTTACTTTTTATGTGTAACTAACAGCCTAAAACAAGATAGCTGTAAATGCACACACTGGTATTATAATTTTAGTACCTCATGTTTTCATACTTTATTTTATACAACCATGTATTTCGTATATAGTTCTAGAAATTTGTCAACCAATCTTAAAATAGCCATTTGCACTGGACCTATCTATGCTGTTGCACCTTTCTAAAGTTAACCAGTTGTTTGGGGGCACACTTATGCATATCATACTTCTTGTTGAGCATTCTTGTTTCAATGCTATGAAAATTCTTTTGTAGTGTGCTGGCTTTCAGAGCTATTGTAGACAGTCTAGCTGGTATAATTGTAGATGTCTTGGTACTTTGCGGGCACTTAGCTGAAAGAATTTTTGGTCTCAAATATTCTTTAAATTTATATTTTTATAATTTGGGTTTTTTTGAAACTTATTTTGTAGTGGCTTGATGTTTTAAATGGTTTTACGCATTGTTTTTTGTAAATATGGAAATGTAGCAATAATGTCATTTTGACTAGTCTCAGTCCTTGAGTCACAAAAATATTTTTATATGTATATATAGATATGCAAAAACCATATGTATAAATAATGTAAGTGTTCGAAAGTTTATGAAACACTTTTGGATATGGTGTCCAGTTGTAGAATTGCAGTTCTAAAGAGTTCAAATAAAAATGTAAATACATATTCCTATGCTACTGATGTGTAATATCTTAAAATGTAATATTTCCTTTAGTTATAAATCTTAATAAACTCTTGGGTGGATGCAAAACCACAGTATCTGGATCCACAGAGGCGAAGTTTGGAATTCTGAAATATTTTTGAAAATGTGTGCTATGACACTAACAATCTATTGATGCTTCTCTGGAGACCTCTTTACGTATAAACAGATTAGATCAGCATGTGAAAAACTTTAAGAATCTGTGCACGCAGGGTTGTTTTGGTATCCAAGAGTGAAAGTATTTTGATGCTAGAGAATTGGTCCACAATACATATTTTATTGGTCTGAGTAATTTAAAGTTGAGATAAAATGTTGCAAGAAGTTTAGAAATATACTGCTGTGAGCAGTACCATTAAGCACATGCTTAGGCCTCAGTTCAGCAAGTTATTTATGAGCTGAATCATCCCTTCAACCAGGTGTTGGGGGACATTTGGTATAGAAATAAGTTTTAATTTACTTCCATTTCCTAGTTCAGTGAAATTATTAGGATTCATCGTTTTGTTACATTAATAATACCACTGATCAGTGAAGTAACAAAATTATGCATAGTGCGCTGTCTGTTATAATGAGCCAGGAAGTGGAAAAAATATGTTTTGTGGGGTCTGGGATGAAAAACAAGTTGCAACTTGTATCTGTGATGCAGGTTCACCGTGGGTTAGTGCAGGCTGTCATGGTTAAGAATACAATTTTGTGACTGAAATCACAGATTCCGTGACTTTAGCGGATCTCCGTGACTGCTTCGGCTTCAGCCCTGGGCTGGAACAGTGGCTAGGGCTGGGGCTGGGTCAGTTCCCAGAGTTGGGTCAGACCCCAACAGCTGGGGCTGGGTCAATCCTGGGGGCTGGGTCAGTCCCTGGAACTGTAGCAGCCCCAGTGGCTGAAGCAGCAGCCAGAGCTTGGTCAGTCCCCAGGGCTTGGTCAAGCTCCAACGGTTGGAGCAGTGTCTGGAGCCAGAGCATCCCTGGTGAAGAGCAGTGGTTGGACCTGGAGCAGCACCGGTGGCTGGAGCAGTGGCCGGAGCTGGGTCAGTCCCCAGGACTGGGTCAGTTCCCAATGGCCAGAGCAGCAGGTAGAGCAGTAGTTGGGGCTGGATCAGCCACCAGGGCTGCGTCAGCAGCCAGGACTAGAGCAGAACCTTGTCAACTGGAGCAGTGGTCGGAGCTGGAGCAGCCCCCACAGCTGGAGCAGTGGCTGGGGATGAGTCAGTCCTTGAAGTCGAAGCAGCCCCCACTGCTGGAGCAGCAGCTGGGACTGGAGCAGCTGCCAGCGGTCAGCCCTTGGCAGCAGGGTTCGGACTGTTAGTCCCCCGTCCCCGGTCGTCACCCACCCCCACCCCCCACCAAGGTATTTGTAGTAAAAGTCAGGGACAAGTCATGGGCTTCTGTGAAATTTTGTTTATTGCCCATGACCTGTCTCTGACTTTTACTAAAAATACCCACAACGAATTCTTAACCTTAGTCATGGTTATAGAACTAGCTGCAACTCTATGACCCATCGGGTCTCTGAGTGCATTCCCAGAGGTGCCAGGCCTCATACCTTTACTTCTCTGGGAGTGATCTTGAATTCACCCAGGAGATAGAATGTGGCTGGATTCAAGATGTAGAATCTGTAAAGCTAATAGTTCGGGCATTGCCTCTTAACACTGAAGTGGTTACCAAGGAGTGTCTGATCCTGAGCCATTGCTTCCCTTCTTGGTTGTTTTTCCTACCAACCCTACTACTAAAGTAAACCAACCAATGTATGCAGTAAACATCCCAATAACCAGATCAATGTACAATATTTATAAATTATTACAACACAGCTCTAATTACGTTGCAGAGGTAATTCACGTATTTCTGGGCTTACTGTATCATTAATTTGCATTTTTGAAAAAAGAACCTAGACTATTGTGTCAAGGCTCTTTGTCAAATGTAGAAAATCATCCAGACTATGTTCCTATTCTGGAGACTGCAGCATTTACCACCTCCCCTACTATCAACGATCACATGAACGAGTTCTCTTCCCACTGGTGATTGAATAACTTTCCTGTGTCAAAAGAAAAGAAATACTTGTGGCACCTTAGAGACTAACCAATTTATTTGAGCATAAGCTTTCGTGAGCTACAGCTCACTTCAGCTCACTTCATCAGATGCATACCTGTGTCAGCTATAGCAATTGCTTACATGGAAAGTGATATTAGGAAAGTGTTTAATGTAGTTTTTATCTATCATTTACTGCAACTGGAAATGAGCAAGAGTCCCCACCATGTGACCAAACTTTGGGAATCTCACTTGTAACATTCATTTGGCTGGTTTCAGAGTAGCAGCCGTGTTAGTCTGTATCCGCAAAAAGAACAGGAGGACTTGTGGCACCTTAGAGACTAACCAATTTATTTGAGCATAAGTTTTCGTGAGCTACAGCTCACTTCATCGGATGCATTCATTTGGCTGGAAGCATGGAAAATACCAGTCTGCTATTGAACACTAGGACTGATCCTTCAGCCTTCTCCCCTACTAATTAAAGAGAGAACAAAATGACTATAGCTTGCATGGAAGGTAACAAGAATGAAAGACCTTGAAAGTGTTGCAGTGTGTGTGGAGGCACTGAGCAATGTGCGTCCATAACACCAGCCAGGTGATCTCCAACCTAATCACAGAAGGGAGAGACAATTTAGTACTGACCAGGGTGATAGTAAAGACCTTGAGCACTCTCCAATGGAAGGGCAGGAACTGATGAAGAACAAGTACTGATGACCAAGCGTAGCTGGAAACGACCTCTGAGTTTTATAGGGAGCTCTTGGTAGGAGGGGAAATATTCAAAATTCAGGGATAAAAAGCAGTCCATGTATCCTGAATGCTAGTCCATGTATCCTGAATGCTAAAACTCAGCCAGCACTAGTATCCCTAAGAAACCACTGATGCAACCAACGAGCATCATTAACAGTACAATTTTATATTAATCAGACAAAACAAGACCAATCTGCTTGCAAGATCTATCAGCCAAGTGTAGATTTTAGGGCAAGAAAAGAAATCAATAAATTATGCTGGCCTTAAAAAGACACTTGTGAAGGGCAACTAGGGCCTGTAATGGAGACGGAAGGCATGAAAGCCTAGGACTAGTAGCTAAGGGCAGGCTAAGGGAGCGGAAAAACTATCTCAGCATTGATGATTCCTACATTCTCTCAAATTTTCTAGTTATGGTCTCATTTTTCTCCCCACTATAAAATGTGGGCCCTTAGTAAATTTACATCTTTGCAGCTAATGGTCATGGAATGCTCCTGACCAAGACACCAGGTCATACAGTACTAATCAGGAATGAAATGTTCTTAATCGCTCTACAGAATATAACCTTGCCACAAGATCAAACAAATGGTAATAGTGAAGTTATATGGAGCAGGTTTTTCCCCCCTGACATTCTAGTTTTTTCTATTTGATATGATGAAACTAGGCTAGAGCAAAATTTTGCTCACCTTCCATGAAGACTAGCAAATTTCCCCCTCCTTGGACAATGATATAGTTATTAAATGTGCAAAAGCATCCACAGTTGTCTCAAGAAAGTAGTTAAGAAATTAAATAGATTTCAAATCACCTAACTTTAAAATCTGGAAATAGTAGCACTGCTATGAAAACCTACTCTGCAGCTCTACTGTGGTTTTGAGAAAATCTTTCAGTATATCAATGGTTGCAGTTGGCCCTCAGTTTCCTATGGTTCTTTAGAGATAAGTCCACAATTGTATAAAGCTTGTAACCAAAAGCGAAGTTGTCAGAAATACTTAGTGTAGATATCTTCTGAATTTCTTAAATTTCTTCATCAATAGAGCACTATTTTAATGGTAACTATTACCTGCCAGCCAAACTTTAGAGCTGATTTAATCAATTAGCAGAGACTATCATCCAGACTGGATTTTCTGTCTCTGTCCTGATCTTGATCGAGGGCTCTCATGGTCTCTAGAGACAGCCGGATGAGCCAAACAGACTTTCTGGTTGCTTGAAAGTGCAATTATTTGAATATTAACAATAGCTGCAATAGTGTACGGGGCTCTGTTAATTGGTTAAATTCACCGTACTCTCACATTGCTAAGATGCAGATGCAGAAACATGTAATTTCCTCTCTCTGTGTGTATATTTATTGGTCACCCCTTATATGTATATAATTTATTGTAGTAAAAGTCTTCATAGCATGTAGACAACAACAACATTTAACCCAGATGCAGAAAGGAAACAGACAAAAACTGAAATGTTCCTAGTGATGTATCTATTTGCGACTTGGCAGCAGCAAGGAATGGCTGCACATGTATGGATCTTGTGATACAACAAGCTGTCTCAGATGACCTGTCTACGGTTGTTTATCAGAGGTGGCCACCTACTGAAGAAGAAACATTGTAATTGGTGTATATGGTGATATTTTGGGATAGCCTCCTAAGAAGGGAAGTTGCCTAATAAGTTTGTTCTTTTGTTCAGGTTTAACTGTATTAAAATACCTATCTTTATCCACTGGGATACCACTGACAAACAGATTATCAGCCTTTACTTACTTGAATTGGTTATTTAGGAACTGCATGGCAGTGACACTAGCTAAGGCCAGATACTTTCACTTGTTAGGTGTCTGTTAGACCATCTTGAAAGCATGTCGAACTTATCTGACGAGTAGACCCCTGTAATAATACACAACTCAAAAAGATTTAAGAGCTATATACCCTCATTCTGCAGCAGGGCTCTCCTATTGTGTTCAAAAAGAGTTTCACATTAAATTAATGGTAGGAGACTAACTCTCTATCTAGCTTGTTCATTCCTTTTGTGCTGCCCAAGTGTACACGGGGACTGAAAGCCAGATGCATCTCCCCAGTGGGGGATTCCTCTGGCTTCGGGGACCTGCATAGGCACCTCCTATATTACATCCTGCACCTGACACAGAAGTTTGTTGGGGCAAGAAGGGTTGTTGTGGAAGGGGTGACCAAACTGTGTTGAGCTCTGTCCATTCCCAGCTG